CCATGTTCCAGCCTCGGCCACTGTTCGTGCCCAATCGACAGTTTCAACATTGGAGCGCGAGTCTGTTGGAAGAACCTCAATTGACATCAGTGGACATCGTTCTTCGGGCATCTAGCTTCCCGAACTAGGCTCGATATTGCGAGAACCGCCGACACGCCGCGAGGACTAGTCGATCGTATGTTTTCCCCATGAAGTGCCTAAGCGTCCTTCGTAGTATGTATGTATTTGACGGCTTGTGCTCCATTGGTGGCTAGAAGAGGCCTTCAAAGGGTCCCTAGATCCTCGAGGTTATGGGCCCACCACGCTGTGAGGCCCTTTCGCTTCAGAGGCTGTAGGTGTCCCTGTAAAAGTCCCTGTCCGATATCTAGTCGGCCCACCACCTTCTCGTAACTCCGATTTCCTCTTCAGGTAGTGTGAAGACGGACGCCAATCTTGGCCTTATGTCACTCGAGAACCAATTATAATGGCCGATATTGCCTTTGCTCACAAATGAGGAGACAAGAGACGCACGGGCAGGCTAGTGGGACGGACCGTTTATCTTCTTGGTTTGTTTGCTTGCTTCCAACATTCATATGCGCCACGATCTTTGCGCGGTCCAAGTCAGGCGGATCTGGGCGGCATCGCTTGGTTGGCTCCAGACTCGTCTTGTTTCGCCTCATCCACAATTCGACTATATTTCGCTGACCCCAGACTGGAATTTTGCCTCTTCAATGGCACTATGAGAATTGCTCATACTGGCGGTCAAGTTTAAATCTCTTGTCTTGAACCTCGTGTGACTCAAGCGACTGGGGTCAGTCGTGTTCACATGAACAAGTCGATTTGCCTCATGTACAAATCGCAAGCTATCACAGCAACATTTCGGGGAGAGCGGTGACAATTGACTGATACTGTGCTATATTCCCTGTCGAACTTTATGACTTTGCAGAACAAGACTAAGACGTGGGGTGTTGTGGTGTACAGTATACAGAGTACTGGGGTTTGAAATATAAAATTCTTGGTCACATTGTGAAAATATTAGCCTGGTGTGGTTTGCCCGTCAAGGATATCTTGTCAATTAGCAAACAGCCCCAATTCATCAGCTGAATCGGTGAAATCTAGGATTATACGCATTGTAAATGTTGTAATGCGCCATATCCTTGCGTGGATTTGAGGAGATAATAAACGGCTCAGTCGGCCGAGGGTGAGTAGCTTTTAGATGCGGTTGGTTGGTAATCGAGATTCTCAGGTCAACTTCATGTCCGAGAAGAGCAATGTGCACTTGATAGCTCTACCACGGATGTGTCGCTTCGGCGATTGTGATGAACTGATGAGCAATGACACCCAAAATAAGCAAAATGTGTGTTTCTGTGCCTGGGCTGAGATGCAATGTGACACGACATTGATTCACTGCATTTCCATATTGGACAATGGAAGATCTGATGTTGCAGGGTCGAAAATTACGATTCCTCATGTAGCACAACTTGCAGTCTTTACAATTGCACGAGTTCTGAATCGTGCCTTCTAAACAATGTCGCACAGTGACAGCATTAAGGCAGTGGTACCACTAAGTTAGTACCTGCCCTTTGAATATGAAGCCATGAGGCGTAGGTTTGGCAAGTACGACAAGCCATCTTACAACTCAGCTTCCATTTTTTTAAATTAGAATTCTTACTGTAGGGTAATCCTGCCAGAATTATTACTCTACAGCATCAATTCTCAGCTACTGGCAGCTTCACCTGCATGGGTACAGAACATGGCCTGGGTTTGCTGACGTGTGATCGAGACTCTGGAGTTATGGTTTTCTCTTACCTGGTAATTAACTTGCAAGCATTCAATGTCTTGAATTTCTTCGCCTAATTGACGACAACATGACTCTAGTCATGATGCCATCCAGATGTCGCCCTAGTATCCAGAGCTCATGATGGATAATTTCTTCTGAGACCCAATAGCCTTTGATTATCTCACATAACGACATCGATTGGCCTCGCGTCCGTCAATCGTAATTTTGCGGGGCTATAACCGATCCTCCTCTAAGCTTGACGGTAAGGATTCTTTGTCTGTGCGCTCTCATCTGTCACTCAACCCTTGCTGTTGCCCTTGTCAGTACCCAGTGTTGAAGTCTTGTTCTTTTTACCAATTTCTTAGTCGAATGCGACAGTGATAATTACTAGGCTTGATCCGACGGACTTCGGGAAACAAACACACATGCATCAAGCAATAGTGGCTTCAGATCCTTACATACGCCAGTGCGGGCTAGTTTCGTTCCCGCTTTGCTTCGCATGCCCGTCCAGCCTTCAAGTGAGGATGCCTTGTATTGAGGATCAGACCGTGGTCTCTTGAGGCAAGACGAGTCTTTGTCGACACTCACCGACTGTTCTGCCCACTTTCACGACGCCATATTCCATGCCGGTGACGACGATAGCTGTCGTGAACTTGGAGATTCGAGACATTCACTCAGGAATCCGAATAGCCAAACACCACAACAATGTCTTACACAGCCATCGTGGTGTCTCAGTATGGAGTTGCCTTTATCAGCTCCCCCGCATTTAGTTGAATGGACATAATTTAGAGAGCGGCCGACCAGAAGGCTGGAAGCCGAATGAAAAACGGCACACCTGCGGACAAAAGTGCTGTCTGGCAGTACATGACGGGTAGCTGCTTAGTGAGAAACTTGACGATGAGGATCAAATGCAGGTGATGAAAAATGATAGGCAGTCAAGTTGGGCATTATCGGAGTCCCTAGTCAATACACACGAGATCGACTTCCATAGTACGAGTTGTCAACTTCGATTAGCAAAGCCGAGGTGTCGGCCATCGTCTGCACACTCTGCATAGTGAGCAGTCTAGAAAGCATGCGACGAATACGGCAGTCGACTCGAAACGACATATCTGAGCTCTCGGTTCTCATTTTGTCATGCAACCCCCCCTGGCATCACATCACAGTGTGCATGTGCCCTTCTAATCCCGGTCTGCACCAATCCCTCCAGCCCTCTGCCTTTTCCTCACCCTCTTGGTCTATCCACTTCTGCTCATAAACGGTTTCGGCACAAATCAAATCCCACAGATCAACCAATCTGTCATCCAAAGCTCACTTCTGCACAATCTCACATGATGTTAGACTAATGCGACCTTCTTCACCACTGTGGATGGCGAAATCACAGGTAGCATTTTGGGTGAGCTTCTGGAGCTTCGAATAGACATTTAACCAGCGGAACCATGTTCAACGAGCGAAATTCCGTATTTGGAGCTATGACAGGGAACCCGGGCGGGGGAAGCTGATAGACAAAATCGGGATGTGAGTGTGAGCAAAGCCATGGAAGTCTGCATATGCTCCCCACCTCGAAGTAGTACAATATTTCTTTTTTGACCAGGCTTATCTGATGAGTCTTGGCAGCCAGTCCGGAAGCTTTTTTTCTCCTCTTCGTCTGAATGCTGAAATGGCTCGTTTTCCCTGACGGAGGAACAAGGGCCCTTGTCAGCTGGAGCCTCGATCTGCTGTATTGGTTTTAACTTTTACTTGGCTTACGCTGGTCGTGCCATTTTCGTAACTTGTCCATCTTCTTGTTGCCATGACTTTGTAGAGATTTTCTTGTCCAGGTCATCAATCATGCAATAAAGTTCAGCCAGAACCGAGATTTTTAATGATCCTGGATATGCGTTTAACTCCCGTCAAAGTTTGGACCGGCCCGCCGCCAGGGACAGTAAGTTCTATCCGCGGACCCTTCAACGGCTACGGAAAGGCCCACAAACGTTTGGAGTGGTGTGTAAGTCGGAGCAACCAACACACAGTGAAGATTCAAGGCACCAAACTCAATTTTGGGCACAAGACAAAAGTTTCTTCAGCCACACAAGGCTAGACTATCTGAACTGCTATGTGAACAGACACATAATGAGACTTTTGACCGGACAAAACCTTCGCCCCGTCACATCGAGATGAATCGCGTTGTGGTGGTGGGTGAGGGTCGAGTGATATCAAGCCAGGGCTGAACTGTGACATTTGAGGTCGGCCGCGAATTGTGGTCCAAGTCAACAGGGTAGACAGACAATCGAGTCAAGTAGAAAAAAACAATGCAGGACCATGGGAAATTGGGACCCATTCCAATACACATAGAGTTTTGATGATTGCACAAAGTATCACAATCCGGTTACATTGAAGGTTGTGATTACCACGTTGGTTGCTGATCAAAATGTTAAAATGTCCGTGAACAATGGGAAGTTGATCGACATGCAAAGCATTTAGTTTACGGAAGGCTGAACCTCCGGAGAAAACCCAAGACATTGATGATCAGGAAGCATTAGGGTAGGCAATAAGAGGCAGATCTTCAAGTCAACAAGAACCGGGTTGTTGAGGAGCTGAACAACAGGAGACAAATTGTAGTGAGGCGAACTGGGCGTTAGTGCGTAAAGATTGTTCCATAATTAGCCCAAGTCAGAGGAAAATTTGTTCGCATATGATCATGATCATGGCCAAATTATGCCGGAATACTGCAAGGAATGCGGGCTAAATTAAAAATAAACGTCAAAGTAAAGACAAGGTAGTCTATTAGGATGTGACAAGATGTGATGGGATCTGCTAGCGCTCGGGTGGTGGTACACCTGTTGAGCTAACATGATTAAGCGCCGCTATTTAGCCCACATTCTACAACCGAAAAGAGAAGACGAGGGGGCTAAATGTTAAAATAGGAATGAAGGGCCAAAGTCTCCGGCTCAGACGGGACCTGGGCCCGACGAAGAGTCGATTCAGTTGAGTTCAAGTTGGTTTATCAAAGAATGGACCATAGAGTAGGGAGCAAGGATCAGGGATACTGCGGAACGAACAGACGACAGAAACCAACAAACGGAACTGACCGGCAGTGCTTAAACTGTACAGTAGCGAGCGGGGACGATATCAATGACTCGCATTGGCGGGGGAGCTATATATCCATGACTTCGACCTAAACTGGACCTGGACTGGCTATCCTCACTCAACTTGACACACGATAGTGTGGTTCTCACAAGACGAGCTACCCGTTGTGAATAAAATGCTGAAGAATGGATCAGTGCTAGCTAAACTCGGAGGCTCAAGAGTTTTCAAATGGCCCGTGTTTGATTTGGCTAGCTCAATCAGACCAAGAATTATGGACAATACTATTGTGAAATGCACCGTGTGTAAGTTGATCAGTTGTGAGTTGAGATAGCTCAATGTTGGAGGAGACATGACGACTATCAAGATAGGCTAATGTACCTTGTCATGCGCAAATGATGATCCGGCTCAACCTTCAATTGTATGGCCTTGCATATGTACTCATCCTCGAATGGTGGTGTAGGAGAGACTCGAGATGGTTGGTAGTTGTTGGCTGTGAAAGTATCAAAGCTAGCTGGAATTGGAAGAGAGAAGCTGATGATCTGACTGTTGGTTTCTGCAGTGTCAGCCTCCTCCGCAAATGTAAGCAAACTCTAGATAAGATTGATATTGGACCTCTTGTACTACCATCACCGCTCAACAACCAACAATGACATAGTTGACACCTCAACAGCTTCGTTTTCTCAGGATCAACACTTGATCAAAGCATTAAGAAGACCCTGTACAAGCAAGCGAGTATCCGCACCTACGTAGGCCGTTATTGCCCGTCATGGTCCGCTTATCACATCATCTCTAGCCCAAGGCTGTCGAGTTTCCCCGCTCGGCTCGGTGTTTTGTTGATCACTGTGAAGAACCAGGATAGTGTCAGGGCCAGGGTCTTGCGCTAGGACAGGACAGGGTAACCCCTGGAACGGTCCTAGAAGAAGAAGGCAGAGATTATCGTCTTCTGACGTTTGATTCGTCCGAGCTACAGATGCTCCCTGTCAAGCTCACTGCGGCTCAGGGCCAATCCAGATCTGAGGCCGGGGTACAGGCGCATGGCTGCTAACATGATTCGGGATTAGAGTACAATCTAACCCATGCTCCGCGGCAGGAGTTTCTCATCGGTTGGTCCCGTCCCATCACGCACTAATGCAAACGTGTCACCCTCGTCTGTCGAATCACGGACCAGAAACGCTCTTTCTCCAACGACACTACACAACAGTTACATGGCTAACAAGGCTCCTTGCTCGGCCAGTTCAGCAGACCGATCCTTTTTTTTTTTTCCCACCAAGTGACAGCAGAATTTAATGCGACCTGACCTAGCGCCAGCAGAGCTTTTCAACCACCCGAAGACACTCGTATGTACCCTGACGAGTAGACGAGCTAGGGGGTCAAGAAAAAGCAGGGGAGGGATTTGGGTGCTAGATCAGCGATTTTTTGCTGTAAGTCCTTTCGCTGTTTTTCTTGACCCCGAGTCCGAGTACTGCGCTGTACAGTACCTACAATGCAGCGCTCAACTCGACAGCAGCACAAGTACAATAATAGACAATGGGCAATGCCTTGTCATATCCACTGAAGGATTATCGTTGAGGGTACCGCTCGGGTCGGGTACATGCCAGCAATACGGCGCACGGCAGGATTCTGAGTACCGACTGCAAAATGCGCTACATGATTTTTGAACGCCTTTTTCTTTCCTTTTTGAGATTTTCTAGTGCGGACTTATTCATCAGGATACAATACTCGTCTCAGTCAAGGGTAACCCCGTCAAAAATCTTGGGACGAGCTGAGAACCCATCAAGACATGCCAATGCGCGTCTGAACCAGTTCCTATATCGCTCAAAGCTGCAATGCAAGATCCCATTCAACACTCGTGACCTCAAATTACGGAATATCTTTCGAGACCCACGATCACCCCCGCGCTGCCAGACGTCACCGACCTGGCCCCTGGTCCCTAATTCACGACACATGTCCTACCTAACCATACCGGCATGCTTTGGAACTGGAGACTTTGTGTTGAGAGGAATTTGATACGCTGTATATGGGGCTTCTCGACCCGGCTACGGGCAGCCACTTGCAGGTTTACTGCACCCATGAGGTCTTTTGCCGCCCGACCAATCCCATTGTTGACCGCCTCTTTGGCCATTCTATTCGTCAAAAATCATCTAGGCACCCAATAAGGCATTTCAATACTGCCAATCTATGTCAGTTATGTCCTAGAGTCCGACAAATCCCAGCTCGTCGTGGATCACCTTCGAGTTCCAAGACTCAAAGCGTGAACCGTGACTCGCAAGTCGTGAATTTGCTTAACGGCCTATGGCTGCACTAATTGCGACTGTTTAATGAACCCATCTTAAATGCGACCGAATAAACTTTTCAGACTAGCACAGTACAAGCTCTGGCAGTTGAGCATGGAACGACCCTGCCCCGTTCGGCCGTTCATGCTACAGACCTTGATAGAGGATGCGAGCTAGTGGACGAATCCTTGTGCGACCTTTTGACATTTCCCCTCTCCGGTGTACTCTGCGCATATGCATGTGCGATAGTCCGGTGAGCTTCTTTATCAGCATCGTGGTGGGTGTTACTGCTTCTTGGTTTAGAAACAAATATTGGTAGTGGTCAGTTGAAGCCGCCCATACTGACTACGACACAGATCGGCTGCATGAAATCTGGATCTACAAAGATTCGGATACATGTTGCGAAAGGCCAACTACTCAAGATACAATCCAATATACTAAAAGGGATTTCGACCTAATTACGGATATGGATACATTGGATGGTAGGTAGTTGAACTGGGGATGATCTGCCTCTAGTCAGTGTCTTGGTCAAGTGGATGGCCTCAAATCAAATCAGAAAGTCAAAGCTCTCCGCCTCGCATGTTCTCCCGTGAGGAGCTAGATCGTAATGGGATCCAACCCCCCTCTTCGATGAGCTCTTGGTGCAAGCAGAGTGGCTGCTTGCCATGGCCATGGACAACTGGATGGGCACACCATGCGCGACTTTCCACTTTGGACTGCAGGATCCCTGCTCGCCCTATGCCGTCTTGTGCACATCTATTCCTAGAGTGGAGATCTGATGGACACAGAGACACTATCTTTGACCGACTCTTCTCATTGGCTTCTCTAAGCGCAGTCGCTGTCTTTTGGTGCCATGGCAGACTCGTTGTGCATGATGCAAAAATAGCAACACGACGATGGGAAGTCATGATCGAATCGACGTGTGAAGGGCCACGAGAGAAGCGGCCAAAATATAAGGATTTAGCCCTCCAGCAGCCGCCCAAGAATTTAACCCTCTTTCTTCTTCGTGTTGTGTTCAGAAATCCCAAGTGTCGCCAAAGGCTCTCTTGATCCCCTTTCCATTCCTCTCTTACCGCCCCTCCTCAACCACCTTCTACTCCTACATCTTTGTTGTTGCAAACAATCTCCAGTGAAGAGCAAGCCGGACTTGCTTTGAACCAGTCAATCTTTAGACAATTTCCGAACGAACGGACGAAACGAACAATCACAGTTGTGCTTTGATCAAGTCGGCCTGGCTGCCACTTACACGACTGCCCACAAATTTCGCTCAGAGATCCATACTGATCCTGACCGATACCAAAAGACATACGCTAATTTAATTCTCGACTTGTTGAAACGGAGCATACAAACTCGGATTCGATATCCCCCTGGTCACGTTTCTCAACGCCCAACCTCTTGGCTCTGGGATTTTTGCTCCTCTCGTCTACTCAGCCTTTCGAGCGATCGACTCCACACCAGAGTCAAGTACAGTGCGCAAGTGGTCCCTGATTGCACAGTCCCACTCCCCCCTTGTACATCACACACCCCATCCTGGTCCCCTAGCACGCCAATACTCTACGGACCAGCATCGCAGCCTACAAATGTCTACGCTGCCCCCCGATCATCGCAAAAGCGTCTCGCGAGCTTCCGAGAACACCGTCAACATGACTGTATCTCAGTCAACAAAAGCCAAGCCGGCCTCAAAAGTCTGCAATGGCAAGCCAAAGACAAAGACTCAGATGCACCGTCGCTCAAGAACAGGTATGCTCACTAACCTACATGTTAATCACAATGAAGAAGAAAAAACAAAAAAAGGATTTGAGCTAACATCTCACTTACACAGGCTGCTATACTTGCCGTTTGCGGCGCAAGAAATGCGACGAGGGAACCCCCATGTGCACAGCCTGCAAGCATCTCGGCTTGCAATGCGAGTACAAGCGACCCATGTGGTGGAGCAACAATGATATGCGAAGGAAGCACAAGGAGGACATCAAGATGATCATCAAGCGCAAGAAACTCTCTGAGAAGTCATCCCACAACATCCAGAACTCCGTCACCAGCTCTCCTCCTGGCCTCACCCACTCTCTTCCCACATCAGCTACCTTCACAGATCCTCTCGACCGCACAAGATCTGCTTCCATCGACTCACAATTCCCGGGCGCTTTCAACTTCAACAGCCCCCCAAGCGGTAACGAGTATGGCTTTGGTGCGCCAATGCACCCCGAGTTCATGTTCGGAAGCTATTCGCCATATGAGATCGATGTCAAGACAGAGCGACAAATGTTTGTCAATGACGTCCCTACAGTTCGCGAATCTCACATCTCCACTTTCAGCACTTACCACACTCCTCCTCCTGCTGGCACTGTCCTCCCTCATGGTCCTTTGGATGGTGAGTGGACTGAGCAGGTCTTCCAAGAGCGCAAGCAATCTCTTTCAGAAGAGACCCTCAACTGTAACTTCTTCGACTTTTCACACGGTCCCTCAACAGAGTCGAGGCAGATTCAGCTTGAGCTTGATGAGAACGACCAGAACCTATTGGACCACTTTATCCAATTCGTGCTGCCAACAATCTTCCCTATCCTCGAGTCCAACCAGCACTGCTCAGTCGGCTCTGACCTCGTTCTTCCCGCTCTTCAATCCAATAGTGCCTACCTTCACTGCTGCCTGAGCGTTGCTGCCCAGCACCTCAAGTCGCACACCAACTCCCCCACCGAGGACCTTGACAACGACATTATGCGACACCGCTATGCCACTATCTGGGCTCTTTGCGAGGCGCTCAAGAAAGACGAGAACCACCAGCAGATTCTCGAGGCGACTCTTGGTCTCATTTTCTTCCAGTCTGTCGTCGGCCGATATGATGATGGTTTGCTGGACATCCCTTGGCACCAGCACTTCCAAGCTGCTATCAGCCTGGTGCAGAAGCTTGATCTTCATGGCATGGTCACTGATCCTACCCGCGCTTCTATGCAAACTCCCTTCAACATGTCTCTCTCTGCATGGATTGACATCCTTGGTGCTACCATGAAGGGCCGATCACCAACATTTGCCCACACTTATCGCGAGAAGCACCTTTCTCAATTCAACCCCAGCCTTGGCCTGCGTGAGCTTATGGGATGTGACGACCGGGTTATGTATCTCATTTCTGAGATCGCCTGCCTCGAGTCCCTCAAGAAGGACGGCATGGACGACTTCACCCTCTGCCAGCACGTATCTGCCCTCGGCGAGCAAATCAGCTTGACTGAGATGGGTGATGCAGGTCCCAAAATGCCCTTCAACGCCAACGGCAGCCTTTCGCCTAAGCAGCTCTCCAAGAACATGACCATGGCCTTCCGTATTGCTGCACGCATATACCTCTGCAGCCTGGTCCCTGGCTTCAACCCCCGACAACCTTCCACCATGGGATTGGTTGAGAAGCTTACAAACGTGCTTCAGCACATTCCCTCGGGACCTAATGGATTTGACCGCAACCTTGCTTGGGTCTACCTCATTGGCGGTTCCACCAGCGTCCCTGGTAGCACATTCCGAGCTTTCTTCGAGGATCGCCTTGCTCAGCTTGGCGACTCTGCTCGATTCGGCACCATGGGACGTGTTTCCACCCTCTTGCATGAGGTGTGGGTTCAGAATGACAGTCTCGCGGGTGTTAGCACACCCGGATCGACGACTGAGGCGGCCCAGCTGCACATCCACTGGCGGGATGTCATGGAATCCAAGGGATGGGACTTTTTGTTAATCTAAGCATTGCTTCTGCCGAACCTTTCTGGCTGGCCTATGAGGGGTAGTAGGAGCAATGTTGGGTGAAACCATCAAGTTCTAATCTAACCTTTCCCTTTAACTCCATGAAAGCAGCCAGGACCACCTCATCAGGCGAATCAGGCATTTGCCAACCGTCGAGGACAGGCTTCACCATTCATTTTCTTGTCTGTTGTCCCGAAAGGGCAGATACGTTTCTTTCTTTCTTTACTTTTATTATTATTCACTTCATATACAATGATACCTACTGGGATGGGTTACTAGAGGAAGCCGCAAGGCGTTTTGAGATGGAAGTGGAGTACAAAGAGCGACACTTGGACGCACCACTCATCTCGACACATTTGAATACAGTTTGATTGGGGGGGGGGGGGGGGGGGGATGAGGCGTTACGGACATACATTGGATGATTAGCGGGCGGAGAAGAAGCATGAGAAAGAGTCATGACCATATGCAGGAACAAATGGGGCGGCAGCAGGATACCGTGTTATATGTTAGTCTATTGGATGTGAAAGGCCGAGTAATTTGAGACTCGGAAACATTCGTTGCTGTTTTTTTGTTTTTATCACGATACCAAGCGGGCAATGGTATAGGGAGAGACATGGCGCATGGCAGGAAATGGACGCCATGTAGGATGGGATGATGATGATACGAAAAGAGAGGCTCTGGGAAGCTGGACATGGGCTAGCTCCCAGACAGGATGTTTCACGAAGAGGGTGGTATACGATATCCAATACCTTGCTAAGATCAAGGTCAACAATGAAACAATGCATATTGCTGCTACATTTGGCATTCCCTACTGTGAGAGAAATGTGATGATACTTCTGCATTTAGTTATTCCCTCATTGGAAATGATGAGATGGGATAGATAATCTGATGAGTAACATCACACCGCACAAATGTAGCGTTAGGAGCTTTTTGAGGTCGGACTGCAAGTCTCCTAAAAGGGAATTCCAAGACCGAGAGGCACGGCTAGAATAGGAATTAATGCCTCGCTCTGATGAGATGATACTGGCCACATTCGATGGTTCTTTTTGTTCTGTGCTTACTTGTGAGATCCTTGTTCCCTGGCAAGTCAGCATAATCACACCACAAAAGAGCCGGGGAAGAGGAGATGGTGCATCTTTGTTCTGTGGGGGATGCGTCGAGGAGGGTATGATTGAGGGGGATTACGAGATGCGGACTCGGACGCACTGCAGTATAATGCAGGTGTTTTTTACAGGTACCGCAATGAATTAAGCAATACACACGTGCTTTTGAATTGAGGCCTTCTTCATTTCCCCTTGTAGCGGATGCAAAGAGAGCATTGCCGTATGCAATGTTATGCTATACCATGCAAATGTAAATGCAGTGCGAGTACAATTCAGTATACGATGAGGAAACAATTTCGTTATCTATGTGAACCTATGAGCCATCTACAGAAAAGCCTCACTTCGTTTAACAGAGTCCAACACATGCAGCTTCTCAGTCTTGGGCCGTCATGTTGTCCCGTCATGCCTAACGCTGCTGTTGCAGTGCATTATAACGAGAAACACAGAGAGGAACCAACACAGCAGCGCAGCGACGGAACAAATCGAGAAAGAAACACGTAGTCCACTCTCGTTAATTCATCCCTGAGAACTGCGTACAAGCAGCCAAAAGGAAAAGAGACAGAGAGGAAGGCGAAAAAGCGAATACGCTTCTGTTGGCGATTTCAGGGCTTTAGGACAGTGCGTAAAGTAATTGGCTCTGGTGACTTACACGCCCCCTCAACCTCTGGGCAGATTTTTCCAGCAATTTTTGGCATACATATTATCGCAGGTATCATCAGACGTGGACTCAGTTTTGCCTCTGCCGAGGTCTAACTTGGTCTAGAAGGGATCTGGGATTTGCGAGATGCATTTCTGCGAGAGGGAGGAGACGACGGCCCAAAGCCACTCAACAGGGATGAATTTTTAGCGAATAAAAATACAAGGGACGTGGATGATCGGACAGACAAACTACAAAGTGACATGGGTAGACAGGCTACGGGAATAAAACGAGAAAAGCATAATACAGTGAATATAGGGTCTATAACCAGTGAGTCATTCGAGTTCTAGTATGGAGACAAGGAAATGCTGGACAAGACAACGCATTGGTTCTTTGTTATCGTGACATGGAAAGGCTAGGGGCATTGATTCATTGATTGGTCTTTGTATTCTCGACCTTAGTTTCAGAATATGTTGTTCAAACTTTGCCTTTTTACACGTGATAATTCCAACAGTTCATCATAGATTGCTTCATTACACGTCAGTAGAAGAAAGACAAAGAGGCAGCCCACAACTAAGATTAGCTAGATCAGAGACAGCTGTTGAAGAAATGGCTTTAGACGGACATAGATAGCTCTTGACGTAGTAGTAGTTGTTGTTGTTGAGTGAGTGTCTTAGTTAGCCTGGCTGTAATAACTTGGATCCGGGTGACAAATTAAACAAGCACCATCGTCATCAATATCAACTCTGTAATTGAACGACATATCTATTCTCTCGTCTTATTCTCTTTTACACACGAGGCTCGTCTAACATGACATTTCTCTTCGCATAGTGTTGTTTTAGGGCAATTTGTAATTTATAATAAGACGGTTGAACTTGATGTATACAATCAACTCTCTACAGTACCTATATAATCTTGTCCATATGTTAAAGTTAAAGACGACGTCAACGGCGCCCTATATCGGATGAAACGGCAACGTCCCTCTTATATATACATTCTAGGTAGATTTAGCCATGCTCAAAAGATTTATTATTCAATTCAAAATATTCCTATGCAATAATGGCATATAGTCAAGATCCAAGAATAGGCCGAACCAGCAGCGACGACAATGATGGTGATAATTACAACGAGGCCAATATCGGGCTTATATCAGAGCAACCACGGAAGAGCAGCCGCAAAGAACTATGCTCAAAGACATTGCTAATCATGCTAGTGATAATATCAAATGTCGTCTGGGTTACTGTGATATCAGGGACTTGGTATGGAACTCGAGATATGCTTGAGAGGTGCGGAAGCAACAAATATCCTGCAGATTTCGGTATGTGTCTCATAATGTTAAGTCGGGCCGTTGATTAATTGCTATATTAGTTTCGAATGAACCAGTACCGCTGAAGCTCAAGACAACCAACTTTGATGACTTGCTGCGCTACAATACAACCAGTCACCAAGTCTACCGAGAGATGGATCCTTCGCTACCTCAATATTTTGGTACTCCAAGTCCAGCAATCGACGCAGCGTGGAAGAAGCTCCTCCGCTACCAATATCCTGCTATCAGTGATGAAGAGATAGCAAGCAACCCAGCCCTGTCGTTCACATCAACAGACAAACATCCAGTCACTGGTAAATACTATGGCGCCCTCGACGTGTTTCACAATCTGCATTGTCTAAACATGGTGCGAAGACACATCGACAAGGACTATTACGGAGGAGGTCATATGAAAAAGAGACATGGCAAGGGAATGAATATGGAGAGTTCCTTTGATGCTGCTGCAATGGATCACCTCTATCACTGCATGAACCATATCCGGCAGAGTCTTCAATGTCGTCCGGATCTTAGTCCTGCTGCTATGCACGTATTTTTGGACACGGATGGATCGCAGTTCTTTTTGGGCAACGCAAAGAGTCATTCATGCTATGACTGGCAAAGTATCATGGACTGGGCTGAAGCAAGGGAATCGACATTGGGCTACACTCAACCTATTGATTGAGTCATGGCCTGAGTCTATTAACTGTCGTATATTTCGAGAAGGCTACTATTAATCCTCCAATGTACCTACTGTATTCGTTTAGTCATTCATCATCATTATATGATTGGATCTTGACCCAAGTCTAGAAAACTACGCGCCCATCTTCAGCGCTTGGCTATTAATTACAGCGCCCGAGACAGGGGTCCCCCACCGCTAGAAATCTACTGGCCTTTAGCGGTCAGTAATTGAATCCAAACCAATCAGCGACTTGTCTCGCCGCGCGCTTAACAACTTCTGAGACTCCAACCAACCACAGCATTTGGCTTCACTAAGGCCAATTATTTCAACCATGGCAACACTATCTTCAAACATCTGGCAACGATGGACCCATCTTGTACTTGTTTCCTTTCTAATAGTTCGTTCTATGGGTATAGCCTCGTCCCAGCGCGTGTCGGGCGATAGGCCCCGGGCACTCTCGGTGACTGGCTCCCAGCATCTGTATCCAACCGCCCAACAGCCTCTAATGCGGCAGTCGAGCCTGAAATATCGTGGTTGAATGGGTCGAGATGGTCCCGACGGACAAGGCGGCAAGGAAAAGAAAAGACTATTCATTGTGGTGAGATGAAGTGACCTCATGGTCTGGTCTGGTTTCTGGTCTCTGACCTGCCTTTGTCTGCCGTTGTTCTCCCTCTTTTACTCTTTTGCCTTCTTGTCCTTCGTCTGTATTTACTGTTCTAGTTCTTCACTTTCGTCTACTCTACCAAACAATCAAACATAAACGCTTGTTCAGCTGTTTCATCACTTTATCTTTGTCATACGCGCCGGTTGTGTTTGACTTGACAAACCCATCATCACTACCCCCATCTTTTTTTTCTCTCACTCTGCATGCTATAGCATCACTTACACACTCTCGAACCAACAACAATACTGATACCCACTGCAACATCAACTGCAACTACTGCAATAACAACAACCAACAACCACTTGCATAACCAACAGGCCAAATATGATTTTGGCTCGACTTCCTACACCCTTACGGGTTCTACTCATCACAGCTATCTGCGCCTCCACAACCTCCGCTCTACCAGCTACTCGCATCTTCGCTCGTGAAGATACTTGCGATGCCGATCAGACTTCATGCAATAGCGACATTGCCAACTTTTGCTGTCCCAAGGGCAACTCGTGTCGACTCCTCGCCGGCAAGACGACAGCAGTATGCTGTCCAGAAGGTCAAACCTGCAACGTCATCCAACCCATCACCTGCGATATCCGAGGTCAAGACCAGAAAGAATTCCCAAATGCACCCGTCAAGACAATAGTCTTCAATCTTGATCTTGAGAAATGCGGCGAGAAGTGCTGTCCCTTTGGATACTCATGCGAGGACGACCAGTGTGTTATCGACAACGACCAATCTGATATTCCAAAAGGTGCTGAGCTTCCCAACGAGACCTCTACCCCTGTCCCCAGTGCTATAACTACAGCTACTGGGGCTGTTGAGACCATCTCAATCAGTGCTGCACCATCGGCGAGTGCTGAGCCTACAGAAGCAGTCGGAGCTGGGTCAGACAACAGCTCAGACTCCGACAGTGACGGGAATGAAGAGTCCAAGTCTGACAACTCAGGTCCTGCTACAACATCCATTGTTGGTGGAGTAGTAGGAGGCTGCATTATCCTCCTTATCATCGCTATTGTCATATTCCTCTACGTCCGCCGACAAAACAAGCGCGAGGCAGCAAGTTCAGAAAAGGGCGGCCACATCTACGGCCACGGTCGACGTCTCAACAGTGACGTTTCCTTTGGAAACATCATCTCTGAGCCCATTAGCCAACCCAACTCGTACCGTGCCGACTTCATCCTCAAGACACCTTCTACCCAGCGGACAAGCATAGTACCTGTTCCTGCTCGCCAGGTTTCCAATGCCAGCACTCGTTTACATCCTCCCCCTCCTCGTATCCGCATCTCAATTCCCAACCCTTTCGACTCTCCCAACCCATCTCCCAATGCTCAGCCTAGCCCTCCGGATAACGAGGAGTCTCTCCGCCATGGAAACGTCCGCCTACCGCCCATCCGTGCTATGAAGGCGTCGTCGTACTACAGCCGTCAGCCGTCTGAACCTGAACTCCAACGTGAGCCGAGCACTGAGAACATCGACATCTTTGCAGATCCAAGCACCATGGTCAAGCCTCGTCCGTTAACACGAGCAACGACTTTTACAGATCTTATGGACGAAGCCGATCTCGGCGCTGTGCGCAGAGGGAAGCCTTATGTCCCTGGAACAACACCCAGGATCTAAACCATATCACATTCACTCTTACAATTTCCTTTAAGCCATATAGAGTTCCCTCATCTCCCCAATATAGATTACACACAACACCATCTGCAGCGCAGGATGGGGTCCTTTCGTTTTGTACACATGGCAACATGAATATCTAGATACGCTAGAACTGGCTCTGGCGTCGTGGTCGCATATATGGGATGGAGTAGCTGTTGTTTATACCCTGGGTTTTTGTAAAGTCCCAAACTACTGCTTTTGTTTTAATGCTTGGAATTTGCCTGTCTGCTTAAAGAGCTTTATCCTAGTTTGAATTGATATGCGAATATTTATTCATCTCGTCTGTCTGACTGTGCATAAAAGTAATGAGACAAAATAACAGTGACAAAAAACGTGGCCAAAAGATGTGTGCATGTTTGATGATATATAGTAGCAAATATGAACTCGAAGCCAAATGGTTCCCATTATCATAACCCTTCTTAACATCTCCTCCAACTGCAGTATCGCACGTTCTGTTCACCGTTTTTGTTGACTCCCATGTTTCCCGAACCATGATAAAACACGCTGTGCCTGCCCATCACACAATGTAAACAAAGTAGCGAGTCAATAGACAAAGGCCGACGAGAGCCAGTGTGCGAATAAAGGAGACAAAAAGATAAAAAGAAAAAGAAAAAAATGACTGTAACGATTGGGTATGTGTGTGCGTAATCAAGATCCAAAACCTGCCTTTATGACGCCAATATCTGGCTATTATCTCTTGTTCCTCCTCATTCAATGTAGCCAATTTGTGTATGCAGCTCTGCTTACATGACGATGCATTTCCTGTCCTTGTCCTTCTCCTTTTCTTTCTCCCCAGAACCGATCGATATGTCGGTCCACCCAGCACTACTTGCAGCATCTGCTGCCTTCTTCTTCTTCTTTTGCTTCTTGGGTTTGGCTGTCCAGCCCCGTTTCTTAGCATCCATGATATTCTTAGCGGCACTTCGCTCAGCGCGGCTTGGCCTGCGGTTTACTGTGGGAGATGTTCTTGTCACCGGTATCGGAGGAGCATTTAGCCACGCCGGCACTTGCTGGTTTGGCAGCGGCAGCGGCAGCACCGGTGGGTTACCTCCATGGGAGGAGGCGATGCTGTAGATGGTTTCAAGACGCTCAACCATCGGCCGCTGGTTTGACCCAGGAACCGGGCGCGGATGCCGAGGGATAGGAGCCAGCAAAGGTGTTTCGTTCCGCCGGCCAGATGTTTGGCGGCTGGGTAAGTCAAAAGCACCTGATACACCTCTAGGAGTACTAATAATAAGAGGTTGATCAGGTTCAAGACGACTAGAGCCTGACGGGCCTGCTGACATGGAGCCGGGCATGGAGTTCGATATGTATCCACTGCCATCGAAACTTCCGACTGGCCGTCTTGGAACTTGGAACCCTCCAGAAAAGCGTCTAGGATTGCCCTGACTGACCCTTTTGCTCAAACTCGCAAGCTGGCTTGAACTGGGCAGAGGGGGGAGACCTGATATGGACTCATCTTGGACGGGTCGCTCAGCGGGTGCTGACAGTGGGAACGGGAACCCATCTGCCGGGTTGACAATAGGGTCAGATTCAGGGCCTGTAACCCGAGGCCATGTTTGGGTGTTTGACAGCCGCCTCACTCTGGGCGCTAAGTCAGCCCCAGGTTGGGTCACAGATACGGCCACTTGCGCAGGCTCCGCATTGACCGCCGGCACTCGAGGGCCTGGGCCAAAGTGGTCATGAGCTGAGATGTCTGTTTGCAGTGGCGTGTGTAGTGGTGATGGTGAACCATCTTCGTTTGTAGAATCAGCAGGAGGAACCACAGCTCTGGACGTAGATGTAATGGCCGACACAGCTGACGAGACTGATGTCTGCCGTACTCTTGCCTCTGAAGTCTCCCCTGTGGATTGGACCACTGGCTGTCGCGGGGAAGCAGGAGGGGTTGCGTCGTAGAGATCAGTATCCCTATCGTGCGGGGGTAACGGGTTCGTGTTCGCCTGGGCTGTTTGAAGAGCTTGCGGCCGACTGACAGCATTCGAATCGCTCACTGTAGGATGGATAGGTAGCCTCTGGGACTGATTCCCACTCTTAGAGTCGGCAGATTGAGTATTGCCAGAGAACTCATTTGTCGTCTGAGTTGACAATGCTGGCATAGGGGGTACGGGAATAGGGGCTGGAGAGGAGGCACCTCCAAGTCCTATAGGTGCAACAGACGGACCACGCATGAAAGCTGGCAAATCTGGCCCTGGGTCATCTTTTTGATAAGGTGGTGGGGGAGGCACCCAATTATCAGCATCACTCTCGTGTGGATGTTCTCTTCGGCCGTCGGCACGACGATACTCGATGCGTCGACCATCTGCTGTTCGAGGATGCAGAGATCTATCCACTGCGGCGGCAGTCGCAGCACGACGGAGCGTTGTCTGTGAGCGAGGGCTAGCATGTGCATACGGAGCATCCAACGCCTCCATCTGCTCAATCGTCGGCCCATCTTCACCATCGGCAGGACTTTCAGGCTCGACTACTCGTCGACTGGCGGGCTGGGCGGGAGGCAGCCCAATTCTCCGAGGAAGTAGAGGGTCGTCATCATCATCATGATCATCATCGTGTGCACTCTGTACCATTTGTGGAGCACTCGGCACCTCTGGAACATCAAGAGTCACACGCGGTGGCCGTGTAGCTGATGTAGCAGCTCGAAGCAAAGACGACCCGCCACGGCCACCTCGCTTTTGAGCAACGGTCCTCCGTCGAACAATGGCGACCTCTGTCGCAAGGTCACGTTGCTCTTCTTCCAACACCTCGGGGTGATCAGTACCAACTTCGATAGTGACCTCGGATTTGACCCCATTGGAAGTTCCGTAGTCAAAGTCCAAGAGTGTAATCCGACCCCCATCCACAAAATCCATATCTTCCTCCTCGGTAACCAGTCGCGGGGCCCCAACTCCCCTTGCAGTGATTACCAGTCGCTCTTGGGTGGAAGAGTTGCCGTAATCCGCAACCCATTTTACTGTCTTCACGTCTGTGACTTCTGCAGCTTTGAAGCCAGAAACAAAGGTGTTCCTCAGTTTGTCGCACAATATTTGCCATTTTGGCACTCGGCCACCTTCGGTATCCCTTGCTCGAGTAGACGCCCGTCGTGAATTGCCACTACGGTCACTGTTTTGCCGTCCGAGGCCAGACGACGAGCTATCATTTGATGAGGATGGATTGTCTGGGACTGCATCCAAATCTTCTGGGACGCCATAAATCCAGACCTCCTTTCCTTGGAATCCGACTGACACCAAGTCACCTCGATATGTCGTAGCTGGAAGCGTAGATGGAATAAGGCTGGCTTGTGAAGATGCACTTGGTACTGGTCCTGTAAAGTATGTCGTCCCATTCCTGAGATCGTCGATTCGAACGGCTCGGAAAGTCTCGAAACTCCGGTCATAGGTAAAAGTCCAACTCGCTTCCTCTTCATGTCCGTCCTGAAGCAGAACAGCGTGACTGCAGTCTCGGCTTGTGTTGGGAAACAGAATTGATGTTGTCCATAGGGGGGTCAAGTTATCTTCAGACATGTGAGGGCCGGGATCGTAGTATGGTGCCGTGATAATGACAGTGCTGGGCGGCGCAGAATGAATTGTTGTCCCAAGGATTTGAGTTCCGTCAAAAGAAAAGGATAAAGCATCGACGGCATCGCATTTCACGGCTCTTCGATCAGTAGACAAGGCTTCAGGTCTCAAGGACGATACCTCAATACCTCCTTCATACGCTGCCGCCAGAACGGATCCGCATGGTGATAGAGCAATTGTGCGAGGAGTGTTGTCGAGAATTATAGACTGCGCTCTTTTGGGTGGGCTCTGCTGTAAGTCGTAAAGGTCAACCTGCATCTCAGTGGACAAAACGGCCAAGAGAGTGCCTTTATCGTTGATACATGCTGCGACAGGCCGGCGAAGAATCTTGAACTCCCTCTTCACTTCGAGGCCGTTCCCTCTTAGATCAATCACGTAAATCCTACCAGAATTGTAGGCCAAAAGATGGTGCCCCTTGGGAGAGGTGCTGTACTGCATACCCTCGCCTCCCGGACATGACGAAGAACTGATGGATGTTGAGATAAGTTTGAATGTGGTTTCTTTGGGTCGTAGATATGCCTCGAAAAGGTTCCTCTTGACTTCTCGTGCAAATAGGCGGCGTAGTTCGGGAAGTTTGTCATCTTCGCATGGGGGGAGTGTGGGATGGCTCGCTGAGTATGAAGGGCATGTTGATAGTTGGTGACGGTAGAGATGAGCCCGCTGAGAAACCGCTCTCCATTTACGGTTGAGTAGTACGAGGGACGCGAAAGCGTTGGGATCGGCAAGTTGGAGTATCCTGGTTGAGAGGCGCGAGCGTTAGCACATGATAATAGAATACGGGGTCGTGCCTTGATAATCAATGTTCTGATCGATTATCGATGCGCAAGGACAGATAGATAATGGGAGCAAGTCTGCTGGTAGAGGTGCCCGAGGACTACTCACTGCTCGATGATCTCGTCGGGAAGGCTGTCAAAGGGCGGAGTTGGAGGAATGGGCATCTTCTCAATGCTCGAGCGACGGATGTCGGTTACCGACGCGTCCATGACGCTTTGTCGCTCTACGTAAGGAAGCCAGTGAGCATATCAATTTGATGAATCACAGCGACGCTGGTTATAAAGATACGATGCGTTGAAAGGAAGGCGAGTAGTCAGAGAGTTTGTGGTGATAAATCGTAGATGCGAATTGATTGTTAGGTCTGGACTCTTTGAAGTGTGGCTGAGGCTTCCTGACTTCTCCAAATTTGGGCTGAGACGTGATGATGGCGGGTCTTTTTCTTCCTTGAAAGAGGAAAGGTATGGATGGATGTAAGCACTAAGCAGAGACACCTTGACCTACAAAACAAAGACTGCCGAAATGTACGAGATGTAATATCAATGAGAGAGAAAATAAGTATCATGAAAGTTGGTACGTATACAAAAACTTGAGAAAGGGAGACTCGTTCACAGGCGATCAGCGTCCTACCCAAATTCAATTCAATTCAGCAAACAGGCTCCATGGCTGGCTGTTACCGCCATCACCCCCTGAATTCAAACGTCGAATGAATGGACATGTACATTGGCTGCCAGGCTGTGTAGCGAACAGGAGCGCATCCTTGTCATCGGTGCCTACCATATTTGGCATACGAAGCGCATGATCGTTTTCTTTTAACAAAGAGCTGAAGGCGAGAACCATCGACTGCGAAGAGCTTTATAGTTAACAATACATTAGTAGGTACGGTATGAAACTTACCTGTACTATAGGTATGGATATGAACTCTGAGATACTACTATCATTGTGCTGTGATTGGTCATCCCTGTTTGGATCAAGATGAATACACTCCACCTGTCAAAGCTCAAAGCTCAAAGCTCTGTCTTTTTATATGTCTATTGTTTAAAGCACCTTGAGACAAGTGGTGTAAATCGAGAGCAGACGGGAAGAATGACATTACACACCAAAAGTGTACTGGTCATGATGGGAGGAAATACGTGGCTTTTCTAATGCAAATGATGGGTTCAATAACCACGAGAAGCGCTTGCAGGACCAGCTGAATATGCAGGGTGAAGCCTCCAAATTGCAGCCACTAATAAGTCACCCAATAGGTAGTCTAGACTCCAGATGATGTAAGATCCACGGAGTCCGAAAATAACACAAATATGGAGGCTTGCACTAAAAGACAGTAATCTACTACCTAGGAATGCCGGGCTGTTTGTCTCCTCACCCCACACACAGCCTACCCTCTACGACAATCCATCTAAACTCATGCCTTCCTATCGTAATGTCTCGAAAGACACATTGTGCCTAATCGTTATGGAAGCCAGGCCTGAGTTAGGTGAGTGAGACATGTAACAAACACCGCAGATGAGAAACATAGTGTATAGATAGGTCCAGGCAGGTGGTAGCAAAGGTTGTCTTAGAATAGAAGTAATAGGTCCAAATTCATCTCTCTCTACCTTCTCAATCGTCAGCGTTGTTCTCTGTCGTGTCGATACGTTACGTGCATTTTCGTAACAAACTCGAGAAGAGGGAACACAACGCCCAATCACATCAGGATAAGCGATACAGTTGGTTCGCGTGTTCTCTCCACCACTTGTTTATGCAGCTCAATAAATGCCGATGTCGCATATCACACCATTATTCTACTATTGGATGGATGAATGTATCCATAAGCAGTGTTTGTACAAACAAAGGTTTGTGCGAAGTGTAGGTCGTGTGCACCTCCACATATAAAACGCTCAATTGAACGAATAACTGGTATGCATCACGGATGTTGCCGAAAAGAAGCTGTCTCGACAACATGTTGGCCTGGATGCCAAGATGTGTTGATTTTCTCCACTGAGACCTTGGCTGCTTGAACTCAACTGCAACTTACATAACTTGTTTACTATGGAACATGAGCTAGTTTTTGTTACTAATATGATGTGTCGAATTTATTCACTAGTATGCAGGACTCTCAAATGGAAACTTTCACTCTTGTGTGCCGTTTCTTGGTAAAACTTACGATTGCGTAAAACTAGCCAACTGTTGGTTTTATAAGCATGTTGTGCAACCCTCACCTTGCCCCATCATGGTCGTACTCGCTACCGAGGCGAGATCTACTACCTACCTACCTATTTGTTATTAGGTCATTAATCACACATCCAAAATATGTACTACCTAGGAGGTACGTAGCCAAGATGGTGCGATGCCCTATACCAATCAGTAAACATTCCGATGCCAAGACTCTTATCTCATTACTGATATAGCCATCACCATCAGTTATTGCTCCATAGACTACTAAATTGCTAGTATTTGTATAAAAACAAATCAATATTGAGTCAGAATTGATAATGGTTTTGGGTGTGGGATGTGACAATCCGAGTTCCATGTCCTGGCGTTTATATCCCTGAACATTCTATTCTAAACGCGGGTACTATGGGTCGTTGTATATTAGGCTAAACTATTTAACAACAAATTTAGAACTGCCAACAAACCTTGGCATTCATCTACCTAAAAAGTATCTAGGCATAATCTTGCTTGTGATGTGATGTGATGTGATATGATATGAGATGGCCTGATATGATGAGACTGTGTGCATGTGGGAATTGCTGACACGGTCCCAGATCAAAAGAAAAACATCGACTAATGCATCTTGTCTTTCTGAAATCCTTCGTGTTTGTCACGCCCCATAAGAGAGTTTTCCTGATGCTTAGGTAGTTTCACTGTTGGGTGACAGTAAAGCCCGGATATAATATAAGCCTATACGAATTTCCGGCCAAGTCGTTTCGCATGTACCTTCCTCATCTCTGAGAATAGGCCGGGTTTAACAATCCGAGCTGCAGTGAGCACCTGCTATACTCCATGGACTGCACTTGCCCTGTTAACTGCCTGCACTCTGCACACTGCAGAAGGGGCACGGCCCGCTCGTGCTTGCTTAACTCTAAATTATCCTACTTCATCCATCAACATTTCTGTAGGCAGACAAGACAGGCAGTAGGTAAAGATCAATTCATCGTCAGCTCATCAAGAATAACATCCTAACTGCTTAGGTATAACTACAAGTCTCGTCGGTCCGGCATGCTTTCCTTGCTGCTGCACTGCACTGTGGATACGGTACTAATAACTACTGCTATTGCATTGCGGATGCGCAGCGGATACCTCCATGCTAAGCAAGCAGCAAGGTACCTACAGTACGGAGTACAATGCTACTGTATGCACAGCTCGGTTGCAGCGGACCGCACAGACGGACAAGAGACCCTGTAAAAAAGAAAAGGATTAAGCTCGATAGCCGATGACGAGGCCAGACTCTGCTACCAACCACCGATTCAGCCCTGCTTCTGGCACGCTTGGCATAATGTGGAAATGATATGGAAGCTTGTTAGCTTCGTAGATCGTCTGTGGGGGTTGCAGAGACATGTGGGAACTTGCACGGATTGCAAGCTTCACTGACAAGAAGCGGAATGATTAGTGGAAACTTTCGGTCCAATCCTGAATTTGGTTTACGTCCATCGTCAAGCTCAGGAAGTTTTCCCAATGCCAAGCCCTTTGGGCCGTGATTCATCCACCTCGGTTTGGCACCTCGGGTAATTCTGCTGACGACGGAAGTCCCAAGTGATTAGATCGGCTTATACTTATTAGCTGTGTAAATAGTGAGAAGAGACAAGATATCTGCAACTCCCATTCAATGACATAACTGATATTCGCAGCATCTTTCTAGTAACCAGTCTTCTACTTTATAATTTCGTGGTCATACTCCCGTATTCTACATACCAAGACATTCTACGTCATGTTAATAATAACTGATCTTTTTGAGGCAAACCACCTAATCAAATCTCCAATTTGTAGGCAGATACCTACCTAGCTAGTCATGCTGGTGGGCGCAAGACTAAGGCGTCGACCAACAACTGACACACCTGAACTACTACAATGACAAGATATGGCCTGTGAGGTCTTCTACTTGTGGTAACTTTCGAGACCAAGACATCGAAGCCGTTTGCTGGTGCAAGACTTAGGGACTCTCGAGCTAAGGCGGAGGCTCGGGGATGCGGAACTCGCGAGTCAGTACAGGGCACCATGAAAACACACCAAAAAATAGCATCCAGATCCTTACCGAGCCAAGTCCACGACTCGATCTCTGGCTTCTATTTCCTTAGGTCAAGGGGTGGGTCACGATCTAATTTCCGCGTATGATGTTAAACTAATCATCCATGGTAAATTATCAACTCTAACAAACTCGGAAAAGCTTGCGAGCTATAACGAGACTTGGCTAACGTCCTCCAGTGACCACTGTTTGATCCTTGATAGGACTCAAGTCAGTAACCTGGAGAAAACCTGGCAAGGCTGTCGACACTACCGTAACTAAGAGACCGTTTTGACATTGCTTCTAGAAATCGAACTAAAGTGATCTTCAGGCATCTGAGATCTAGACTTAGCCGTGCCATGTTGCATTGAGAGTTAGGATTAGAAAGCCTGAGAACTGGCTCGTTTTGTTTTCATACATGCTCGCCTCAACTTGACCTGGCTTGACTTGACTTGACCCGACTCGCCTCACCTACCCAAAGCACAATCCCCGCCAACTAATTACGGGCTTGCAGCTAGGGAACACGCAAACATGAGGCCTAGATAGTGAGACTCGGTGACTGCTAGTTAATCCCAATTAACTAAATTCGAAACTAGCGGCGGCATATGCAGTCATCGCGTGCTGTAAAGCAAACGTTCCGTCACGTAACGGCCGGGCTGGATTGGCCTTTTCCGACCTTCGGCCAAGCCTGGCGTGTGTATAGAAAAAAAAGGAGTGTCTCGCAACAACAGATAGATCCTTTGTTGACTCCTGTATAGACCCGCCAAGAAGCGTAAGAGTGCATACTTGGAAGATGGCAAGCATGGATGATACTGTACATGTTGTCTCTTTTCCCGGCCAGCCCTAGAACCAGGTTTACGATCGGATAGGGATTCACAACGGAAGCATCAAGGAACCTCCGCGGGCGATCTGATCTGCCGAGAAGCCTGAGGCATCCCCTTTGTAATTATAGCTGCCTAAGGTAGCTTTGTCCAAAGTCTTCTGCTTTAGCCGTGTCTTTTCCTGGCTACCTACCTATACCGTAGGTCCTGTACTGGTTGTCCTTCAACATTCTCTTGGCGGCACACAACTTATGCAATGAAAGTACCTTCCGAGAATGTCAATCCCTTTGTATAGGATGGTGCCTCTGAGCCCTCACATACAAGCACTCCAGCAAGATGCAACGACTGAAGTTTTGACACTTCATCATGTCCAGACGAGAACCGGATTATTCACTTACGGCTTACCTAAATCATGCGAGCTGCTATGTGAGGCCCTTTTACAAGATCTGGTATACACTACGCCCCTGGTCTTATTTTTGCTTATCCCTTGCTTCTTTAAAGTAATTTATCGAAGAAGTAAAATGTTCTATTACTTGGAAATGTACTAATATTTGCTAGGCAGAAGACCTCCAAATGTGGGCAAAGAGTTTCGGAATGGTCGTCAAGGATATTAAAATGCCTGAGATTAGCCCACAGGCTTTCCGTCTTGAAAAGGGCAACACTTCAGCGTTACTAAAAGGTTATACCGCGCTTGTTGTGGCTCTCGGAAATGCTAAGTACGATGTCGAGCTCATTTCCAGAGACAAGACCTCTACTCAGCAGGAGACGTGGGAATCGTCTTGCGCTCTTCACCTCCGAGAGACAGGGTTAAAAGCTCAGGGAGGACACATTAGATTTCTTTATATCCCGCTCCACCTAGAGCCTGAATAGAGTTCGTTGTCGACCGAAACTCCTATTTCATGATGTGTATCATGTCATGTTCTGTATCTTCACTGCTCTCTGAGCTGCTTGTCGATCTTGTCGTTGACGCCCTTAAACTTGACTTCGATCTCGATTTCGCCTTCGACCTCGTCTGACCTGGCTCCAGGGCCCTCTCTACTTGTTCTAGACTGTCCGCCCTGTTAGTTCAAGATCTGTTGTATTATCGGCACAATCACGTTGTTTACCTAACTTTCCCATCGCAAAAATCATAGACGAGATTTGGGATCCTCAGTATCTCCGACGGTAGGCTGCTTTTCGGGCGATGGGCAGATATCGACTCTTCGCGTAGGATTTTGAAGCATTCGGTGGTAAAATGCTGGCCAAAGGTAAAGTAGGCGCTCACTAGTTTGGTTGTTATAAGAACAAAAGACCTCGTATAAACAGACCGCGGAAGGGTGTCCATCAAAGCCTACCTCTTAACGGGAGCTCATATGCCCGCGGCCCCAATACTTTTTCAAGTTCATCTCCAATCTGCACACACTTTGGTAGTGCGAATCGCTTGGATCTTAGTGTATCGCTTCCTCCACTGACGCATTTTGCCATGGCCGTCATTACCTCGTCCGTCGTAAGGCCTTGACTATGAGCCACATGACACAATGCGACCATGACCATGCAATGTGTTTGAGTCTCTCTTCCAGGTTCAAAGTCCTTGGAGGCGGCAGCGTAAGTATCGAGGAGAGTGTACCAGTCCATGTTTCGGCGTGATCCGATGTGGGAGATGGTTAGCCGACTATGCAAACGTAAAATGTCCTCCGGAGTCGAAGGCCTGTTGTTGTCCCAGTCCTCATCTCCTTGGGGTAGTTTGGCCATCCATGACCTAACCCATTTTATCTGGTCATTCAGGCCTCGTCTTCGGACGTACTTCTGGGCAACTGGCTTTCCAGGGTTTTCGGTGATAAACTCAGAGGCGGCGAAACTTGACGATTGTGGAGTGTTCATGATGTACGGACACAGGATGAGACTTCTAGGTCTGGGCTGAGATAATAAGGGATCCATTTATGTCATGAAGAACCCAAGTTGGGTTCCCCCAACCGTCAGACAGAGGGCTGGGCAATCTATATGGGGGGCTTCAAGTCGGCAGCCGATTGAGCCGCCAAATTTTGGTACCTGAGTAAGGAAGATTGCCTCCGCAAGGGTTCTTTTTTGTGTATTTGAGCCACACCTCGTTTTACTTCACGCCCTCCTAGAAGGGCTGACGGGGTTGTCGGCAGACAAAAGGATGACCTCTGCAGGGCCCGTCAGAAAAAAACAGAGAGCCGAAAGCCATTGTGTCATTGCCAGTTAGACATGACAGTGGCGTCGGTCGTATACCCATCGACGGGGTGTAGAACCAAGCTAGCCGAATCGTCTGATGCCACATCCTTTTCTTCAGCCTTGTTATAAAAGCATTCCATCCTCCTAACAGCCTTAGATTAGGGATACCTGGGAATGCGGATAGCGGACATGGTGTGATTTGGTTCTGGCCCTGTTTCTGATTTGCGTCACCTTTCCCAAGTCAAATCAGTAAATGCGATTCCCCCTCCTCAACTTACTGCCGCTATGCAGGTATGCTGTCGTACCGGGATGTTTATTGGTCGTAAACCCGCTCGACCGGGGATGAATCCATGATTGCAAAGAATTTTCTTCTAAATCTTCAACAGGCCTTGGCTGGAGCTGGACCATCGGTCGATAGCGCAATGCGTCAGGGCCCAGCCTACCAAGATAAGGGAGAAGTGACAAAAGTAATTCGCAAGCCTACACTGTATCCGTCGTGCTCGATGGAGACTTGGTCTGCCGGGGTAAGGGGAGTTATTATCCCGCTGTCTTTTCTCAGTTCCCAAAACTCGGGCTAGCGAATGGTAGCAACCCGGGTTTAACCCCTAGATCTACGGTGAGGAACGCTTGTAGCCGGACCAGGCCAGGGCCTTTGGGCTTGAGCACTAGTCTAGCGTAAGCCATAGGTCTGCAGACACGCAGACTTGGAAATGTTCGGGGGCTTGTTTCAACGGCCTGACAAGAAGTGCGGCTGCAACTCGAGTTGTACTCTAGCGTTTCGGACCAATCCTCCAACCAAAGTTGGGTCTGTTTATTTGTTTGTTTGTTTGCACCCCTCTTTGTTCTGTCATTATAAACCAAATCATCGATCCAAGACCGTAGCCGGGACTAGGCAAGGGGAGGACATGTCGGAATGCCCCGAGCCTCGGCCTGCTGTCAATTTGTCTGCCATTTTGGCATATCGCTATACGCTGATCGTTCAGCAGACCAACAGGGGCCAAGCATGTTCAAGCTAAAAAGCAACGTGGGAATGGTATGGACAGGGTGATGGATGGGTAAAGTGGAGCTAGTGGACTTTCAACTCGATGCAAGCTGCTAGCTTTCGGGATTATTTCAAATATTCGCCTTATGTCAGCGAGGTGGATCGCGTGTGGCTTGATTCGAAAGGCTGTGCATCGGACATGATAAGATAAGATAACAAACTACTGACGTTTATCGGTTGAAGTTGCATGACACCCCTGAAAAAAAGAATGTGGACCCGCCCATGTTAATCTAAAGTGACAATTGAGGACAGCTTGGACTGTCGCAAGACCTCATGAACTTTCCCTATCCTTCAGTCCTTCCTTTGATATTCTCGCAACTGTAGTACTTCATTACTACTGCTCTTCTTGAGCACTCGTCGCTCCTACTCTCTCATACTCTACGTTCGATGGCGGTTCGTTACAATGGACGGTGATCCGGCTGTCGATCCGGGGCTTGACTCTTTCAGCTTGACGTTCCCTTTACCATACCGTGTTGGCTTTATCGCAACTCTAGGTAAGCATGGAAACCCTGTTTCTCGACTTCGTTGTGCATAGCTAACTGTCAAAAGCCGTTTGGGGGTGGGGTTTGAACCTTCATTGCCTCTATCTATTCAACGTCGACGTTCCTCAGTTAATTCGATATCCCGGTCGAGCATCGCCGCAGCACATACCGCACCATGGCTCAACGTACCGCCTTGCGATTGTCCTCTCAGCTTTGTTTGCCTTATCCATATCTCTCTTCTGGCTATGCACATGGGGTGTAGCTGAACGTGTGATTGCGTTTGGCTGGATGCCGTTGGCATACCTTGCAATTCTGATCGCAATGTTTGTTGTTCCATTACGAAATCTTCCCAGTGGTGGGAGACGAAGGTTTCTAGCTACCTTGAGGCGCGTGAGCATAGGAGGTCTTGCTGAGCCTCAAGATGGAAAATTTGGAGACATCCTTCTAGCTGATGTTCTCACATCATACGCAAAAGTCTTTGGGGACCTCTTCATCACCCTATGCATGTTCTTCACGGCTCAGGGGTCGTCTACGCAACGACCTGATCGTAATTGCGGAGGGATAGTCCTCGTGCCTTTCATCATGGGAGTGCCGAGTTTGATACGATTCCGCCAGTGTTTGATCGAATATTTTCGTGTTCGGCGGGCTCCGTACAAAGAGTCCACAGGATGGGGCGGCCAGCACCTAGCTAACGCGCTCAAATATTCAACGGCATTCCCTGTTTTAATCACCAGTGCTTGGCAAAGATCAGCTGAGGATCCCGAGTCCAAGGCAGCTCTCCACAAGGCTTGGCTTGTTGCTGTCGTCATCAATTCGGCCTACTCCTTCTATTGGGACGTGGCCAAGGATTGGGATATGACTCTCTTCTCTTCGAGACAAGACCGAGAATCTCCTACTCATCCCTTTGGACTGCGAGATCGCTTAGTCTTCAAACCCCCCAATCTCTACTATCTCGTTATTGCCATGGACCTGATGTTGAGATGCACGTGGTCAATGAAGCTCAGCAGTCGCTTGGACAAGTTCAGCGATCTAGAGGGAGGTATCTTTCTCATTGAGTTCCTGGAGGTTTTTCGTCGATGGGTATGGATATTCCTCCGTGTTGAGACAGAATGGTTGAGAAATAATTCAACTGGCCTTGGAGTTGACGACATTTTACTTGGAAATTATCAGGGCAAGGACGATGAAGACGATTGATATCTTGACCAAGAATTCGGGCAAGGAAATGACAATTAGACGATGGGCTTACCCAGGCGTCTGGGCAATTTTCATAGAACTACGACTCTCAATGATATCTTCAATGACGACTCTTCACCACACTTTTGTTGAAGCAGACTGATTTGCCTTCCCCTCATGCTCTTTTCACGACTCAATTTCCTGCTAAGGATTTATGGCTATATTGGATGCGCCAACATTTTATCTTGCTGAGGTATTCGCTGCCAAAGACTCAAAATGCCACGATGCCATCCCCGGTAATCGGAAACCCTTACGGCATTATGGCAACCGACCTGACGATCTTGCCGCCATAAGCCAGATGGGTAATCTCGCGCCTCTCGATAACAAACTTGCCCTTCCTGGACGAAGCTTCGGTCTAAACGCCAATGAGCCATGCCAAGTCCAAGTTGGTGCAGCGAATGAGCAATATGCGGAAAAGACAATGCCTTTGCGAAATTCAGAACATTGCGGTGAACCGTGAAAGAGCTGGCCTTGGAGACGCAACTGATGGCGCTATCTTATTTACTTCCCGCCATTAGTCTGCTGGTCGTTCTTAACGATTGTTGTGTCTGTGGCCGCATGGTTTTCCGACAACGAGGACTTATTTGAGTGTCGTGTAGTCCAGCTCGCCACATTCAGATGCCGAAGATGGTTGGAATCTTTTCTTATTCAATCTAACCTGTTGGCGAAGTATCCATTTTCTTCTTCCTTTGGGAACAATTCGCAAGGCGCGAGCGGTTTGTCTTTGCCGATCAAGACTGGAATGTTGCTCAGGTTTCTGGCCAATGTGTCGGTCAGTTCACGGAGCCTAGACGCAAGCCTCCCGCCACAACCCGCTAAGTGCCAGGTGACTCTGGATGAAAATGGATTGAAGCTGAGGCGCCATAGGCTTGGTCGCAAGGCCGAAAATGCGATGGCTCAAACTCACAATTGCCTAGAGACACTCATAAGATGGTGTTGGCCGACTCACGTCCTTGTCGGGCGAGGGGTTTCCTCTACCCATCTTTCTTTCTTTCTTTAAACACCCGGGTTCGACAACTTTTTAATTGAAATTCCAGAGCTATCTCGACGGCATTGATCCCACGCTTTGACTGAGCAGAAGTAGTTTGCCGTGGCGAGGTTGACTTGGACGAAGTCTGCTCGTTATTTAGACCAAGGGAACCGTGTGCCTTTTATAAGGTTCGATTGAGGTTCTAAGTGTTGGTTGCAGAATCAACATCGGTCCCGCAGGGTTGCAGGCCGATAAATCATATATGATACATGCAGGGCCCTGGCCTTTACCATCCCAGTTTCATCGACCTACAACGGACGCCAAAGCAGAGTTTATCGAGGATAGTATACTGTCAACCAATATGACAAGTTATGTACGGCCAATGAGTAGTATAGAACTTGTGTTACCACCACAAAATGCATATCTATACTGCAACAAGCCTCTACCTCCGCCTCCAACAACACCGTCAAGGCACTCTTCAAACGCAAAGCCTCCAAGGTTCAGTGCCTTTCCGAAGACCTCGGGGCCAGGAAACAATCCCAAAGTGTTGCCTCAACAGCCCCCTGTGGTTGTGCCCAAGGCTTTGACAAGGCAGCGCGCATCACGAATGAGTATATCAGGTACATCTTTGCGCGAACGACGGTCTTCACAAAAAATTCAACAAATCACTGGCCACGATATTGGTCCTGGTATCGATTGGGCGCCCCCTACAGCCCGGGCTCCCTATTCGCCTTCAATTTCGCCCAAGTCCTTTAGAGACGATTCATCTAGTGGTTACAGCATCTCACTAGATGAGCCCATATTCGACAATGAACCTACGCCGCCCGCAGATTATCACCCGAGAGCTTCGGACAGCAGCATGCCTCCACTGGAGCCAGACTGCGATAGCGTGTTGAGCAATCAGAGTTGCATGGTCCCAGAATCACCCAAAACCCATAGTGGATCTATTTCGCTTCATGTCGAGAAGACGAGACGTCTGAGTAGCGTCGCGTCTGCGTTGGCGGCATTGGAACCTTTCCCGAATCTAGACGACCCGTTTGACGAAGATGCCAACTGGCAGGCAGGCTCGTCTTATAATTACTTTAGTGATATTGAGACAGCGGATGAGTACCATCGAATTGCGACCAGGTTGGCCAACAACGACAAACGCCAGTCGCTACGTGGGACCTCTCCCCTTACACGGTCTCGCAGTTCACTCAGTCGGCGGCTGAGTGTGTCAGCGCGGTCACTGTTTACACGAAGAAAGGATTCTGGTCTGTCTGCTAGCTCTAGTCGAGCGTCCCTGACCGCCACCAACCATCCTACAAAGGGGCCCTACTCGCCTTCCATTCCTCCCTCAACTGACGATGCAAGCATGGTATCTCCGCTTCGCAGCATGTTTGAAATTGAGGATGAGTATGGGTTTTTTGGCGATGAAAGCAGTGTGAGTGTGAGAGGAGTTACCAGGGACTTTTTTGCTCACAGGAGTGAGGAACAAACATCAACAGAGCTTGGTACACCTCATTCGATGCCACAAATCCCGGAGCAGCCACAGGATCACAAGATCTTGTCAATGACGGGGGTACAGGTCAAGAACCTACTTTCGAATGCGCGTGATGGGGCGAAATCAATCCAGATTTCCAGGGTTGAGAGGAGAAGAACGCAGCTTAGGACGCAGATCAAGATGATTCCAGAGGAGGAAGCTGGTCGTTAAGCGATAAGCGATGAAAGACAGAAATGAGAACGGGCATGCCCTGGACTGAGAGATGGATTGCTTGCTATTGGGTTTAGCGCGGCGTCATGTTGAAAGAGATTCTCCAAAACGTTTTTGTCAATACGGTCACTTATTAGACATAATTCAATCAGATCTTACCTATTGTACTGTATTAGTGCTTGTACCGTCCTACAGCATTTTGTGTTGAGACAAGACAGATACTAGATTAGACTAGTTGATTGACCATTGCTCAAACAGAGCATTTATACTTAGTTTCTCTTGGCACTTCTGTTGTCTTTGGTCTTATCAAAGGAATTGATTTAACAAATCCCACTATATCTGTCCTACCCTGTGGATCTCTCCCCGGCTCTACAAGTATTTCCCCCGCAAATCAAGATCCGGAGCCGGAGCCGCTTCCAAGCCGAGGCATCCACATCAAGGCTCGACTCTTAGACCATCTCAACCTAATTAATCAAAGAGGAAACAACCTAGGAAAAACAGAGACAAAAATCTGATTTGAGGTACAAGGCGGGCGTCGATCTTGTTTTCTCGGACGATCAGAGTTTCTGCATTGCTGATCACTCACCACCATGATCCACGATACAGGGGCCTCAATCAATAACGAGCCCTCTAAAGATACAGAACCAGCTGAAAGCCACAGCATCACTGACGTCGAGGTTATTGAGGCGCTACAGAAGGGCATCCGCGAAGCTGCTAGTGATAACGTTAGGGAGGAGCTGATCAACGAGGGAGAGGCGTCGCTTTATTATGACTCTCTGACCATGTCGCCCTTGAATGCAATGTCCGCTGTGAGTTTGGTTTTGTATTAATCCTCTTATTTACATCTAGTCTTCTTTTTCTCCTCTGCGTTCTGTTTCCATCCCAATGCGTTTATTATCAGATTCTCCTCATGTATACTGCAGATTACTAACAAACATCATATCTCGCAAGGCCGCAATTGCCCGCTTCCGCGCCTACAAGCCTCCCTCATTCCCGCTATGGGACCGTCTTCCGGTTCGGAGACGTGCTGCTGTCTTGATACTGCTGTATGCTGACCGTCGTGGTGATTTACGTGTTGTCATCACCATGCGTGCCGCGAGCCTGAGGAATTTCTCGGGGCATGCCGCCTTCCCTGGAGGCAAAGCGGATGATGCTCAAGAGACACCATGTAAGACGTTCCTGTCAATTGTTCCCGATATTCGCTGATCCAAATCCACAGTTCAAATCGCCCGCAGAGAAGCCTGGGAAGAGATCGGGCTTCCGATGGATGATTCCAAACTCCCTAAACCATTCCGAGTAGAGCATCTCTGCTATCTACCGCCTTCTCTAGCCCGGACGCATCTCGTGGTGAGACCGTGCGTTGCATTTCTACACGCGGATCAGCGAACAGCAGGAGAGCCCGCTCCTAATGTGGAGGAGTCCATGATCCCCCGTTTGGACGCACGCGAAGTTGCTGCTGTTTTCAGCGCACCTTTCTACAATTTCCTGCAGGCGAACGACCTCCCTCCTGCTCCTGGCGAGTCGCTGCCCGAGGGACAGTGGTACGATGGCTTCTGGCATTCATGGAAAGACCACAAATGGCGAGTGCACAACTTTTACGTACCCGTCAATAACCAAAGCATATCCAAGCCACGAAAGGACAGTGAGCAAAGCCAGCTGGTAGAGAAGCTGGAGAAAGAAGAGGAGCCAGACGGCAGGTTCAAGGTGTGGGGAATGACAGCGCGTATCTTAGTAGACGCGGCGAGAATTGCATATGCACAGGAGCCCGGGTTTGAGCATAACGACAGTTTCGGCGATGAGGATATTATTGCGCATGCGGACAGCTTGGGAGAGCTGGGGGACAAGGTTCAGGAGAAGCCACATGAAAAGAAGACCGAACCTGGGGAGGCGGCGAAGATGTAGAGGTGTTTACATGGATAGATTGAAGATTAGCGAATCATGAGAACGATATATCGATACAGGTTTGCAGTATAAGAATGTACCTGTAGAAATCACAATACATTTAGCCTCATGCTAGCTCAGCTGAAGATGATGGGACCAGGTACGATATTGTACTCTAGCCCAAGCTGCAGGTTATACGGAAATAAATTTGGCTTGTTCTTTACTCATTTGTTTATCCTAAGTGTATTCTGAGCATAGCTTGAGCCGAGGGGTTCCCCCCGAAGTTACTGTGCTGTCTTGAATGGGATTTCGCCCGGGTCCGCAGGTACGTGATTACCTACTTCAATCAAACTTATAGCTGTTCCAACGGTAACGCCGCATAACGCATGGCCCTACCACAATCGTTTCTCTTACAAAATTCGTCTTTAGTGGCATGCGTTTTCCTTTGTGGCCGAAGTTCTTTGTCCAAAGAACAAATATCCGAGAAATGCGCCAAGAGAAACAGAAATCATGACCCAACCATTGTATGTCATGAAAACAAGCCTGTCTTTGTTAAAACCACCCTCGTCCACGAATTGCAGGAGATATTAAATATACTTACATGAGCATAAAGGCGTAAAAGTTCTGCAGAGCGTACAAGACGGCCTTGATGAGGTGGGCGCGCTGGTCGGCTTGTCCATGGGATTGTCCTGACAGGATGGGAGTCGATTCAGTAACAGGAGCATCAGACAGACCTCACGGTAAGACTTAGCAAGGGTGCGATTTTATATTTTCCCCAAAGACTTTAGACAGATAGGGCAAGAGGATACAGCGTAGCATTCTGTTTTCTTTTGTCCTTGGGGTTTCCTGGATAGGAAATATGTGCAATGGCCGTGCAGAGACGGGAGAAGGAGATAGAAAGCTTACTGGGGGCGGAGCGGACGCGGTTATCGAGAGCTTGTTCGTAACGACGGGAGACAGATCGGAGGGCTTCGTAGCCAATGGCGAGGAGGATGACGGCGATAAGAGAGAAGAGGAGTGACGTTGTTGAACGGACGTGCCATTGACGGAAGACAATGCAGAGGTTGTTGGTATCCCAAGTGAAGAGCATCTAAATTGGTGCTGTTAGCATATGTTCCCGTCCCTATTCAGAGAGAGGCTGGGTTTACATACGTTCATACTACACATGTCCTTCATGCCTCCTCCATGGCCATGATCCATATCTCCATGGTCCATACCGCTGTGATCCATGTGTGAGTGATCCATCGTGAATATGCTAGTAATTGATGTCGAGGGTTGAGGTTATAGAATGTAGAAAAGACGTCGGCCGGTATATAAAGTCGGTCGAGTGTAGAAATGAGCTCAAACTTGCGCAAGGTCAGGCGGATCTCTTATGGCGATGGTTAGAGGTCAGTCGATAATAAGGGAGTAGATGCAGAACAGTAGGTGTCGCAAATGGGTGGATGGAAGGAATGACGCGACAACAGGTACATGCAGGTGCACTCAATATATGTGATGATACAAGTACCTAATGTTTTAGCTTCTAATTTCAGAGGGGAGGGGTCGTCTCTAACCCTGTCTTCTACTGCGGGGAGCTACTGTGATACTGCACTGTATCCAGGTACAAAACAAATGAGACTATCATATATTAGAGAGTAATATATTATGATTGTTGATGAGTTGTAATTTATTGTCTTGCTAATAAGTTGCAATGATAAAGTACTAATATTTAGATAACGTCACAGCCTCTCCCGTGACATCCGCAACTGCCACTTACAAATTATCCGCAGTTGAAAAACACCCCCTCCTCACTCATATTAATCAACATTACTTCGACATCTACGTACACACACAAACAAACCAAGACCAACTTCAAAATGCTCGGACCTCCTGTGAATCTTCCCAAGTGGTCAGTCAAATGTCCACCTATTCAACCCAGACATGATTACTGAAACATGACCAACTCATGATGAGCATAATAGGCTTGAAGAAAACTCTCATCTCTTACAACCACCCATCAACAATTACTGCGTCTACAATGACGATTTCACTGTGATGGTGAGTGTTGCCTAACGAATCTCTCGTGTATTCTGTACGGCTCAGTTACTGAACATCTCTAGATTGTTGGTGGCCCCAATGCTCGTACCGACTACCATATCAACCAAACCCCAGAATGGTTCTATCAATACAAGGGCGCTATGATGCTCAAGGTCGTCGATGAGGGTAAATTTCGCGACATCATCATCCACGAAGGCGATATGTTTCTCCTGCCCGGTAACACGCCTCATAACCCTGTCCGCTTCGCAAACACCGTTGGAGTAGTCCTCGAGCAGCGCCGTCCCAAAGATTCACTCGATCGAATGCGCTGGTATTGTGCTGAGTGCGGCGAGGTTGTCCACGAGGCTTCCTTCCATTGTACCGACCTGGGAACTCAGATCAAGGCGGCTGTAAATGACTTTAAGAATAGCGATGACAAGAGGACGTGTTCCAAGTGTGGGGTTTTGGCTGATGTAGCACCGAAGCCGGGAAGTATTCAGGATCCCAATTTGGAGTGATAATATTCTATTTTACATGATTGGAAATTCAAATCTTTCACTATGTATTTTGTTTCATCCCACCATGTTTCCCTCTAGGTCTCAGAGAAGGTGTATGAACTGGGCGACTCCTCGACGGGAATCTCAATAGCACCCTCCTCCACCTCCTTTCCATCAATCCTTAAGCCAGCGCGAACAACATCACCAGGCGCAGCAGGGCCGACACCAGCAGGTGTACCGGTGAGGACAATGTCACCAGGGTGAAGAGTCATTACCTTTGAGATGTCGCTCAGAATGCGAGGGATCTGATAGATCATCAGGTTGGTCGAGCCCTGCTGCTTGGTCTCGCCGTTGAGCTGGAGGAAAAGCTCCACGTTGTGAGGGTCCTGGATGGCGGTCTTGGGAATAATGTTGCTCATGGGCAGGAAAGTGTCGAAGCCCTTGGCAATTGACCATGGAAGACCCTTCTTCTTGGCCTCGTTCTGAGCGTTACGGGCGGTAAAGTCAATGGCAACAGCGTAAGCTATGATATGTCGGTCAGCATCCAATAGTTTCTGAAAAGTGTTGAATATCGCGCACCCTTGACAGCATCCATAGCACCCTGAACATCAGAGGCTTGTAGATCTCGAGTCAGCTTGCCGATGATAAGAGCCAGCTCAACTTCGTAGTGCATCTCAATGCCCTTGGGTCTCAGGACAGCACCCTCACCAGGGAGCACGATGGACGAGGTGGGCTTGAGGAAGAAGAAGGGCTGCTTTGGCTTAGCACTGTTGAGCTCGGCAATATGTTCCCTATAAGATAGATATCAGTATGTGCTATAGTGATTGAGAATATGAGAGCATACGCAAAGTTGCGGCCAATACATATGACCTTGCCTGCTTGCTTGAGGCTGGATGAGGCTTGAGGTGCCATATTGGCCATTGTGCGTCTGAGAGCAAACATGATGAAGGCAATAGAGAGGTTTGTCTAATTGATAGATAGTTATAAGAAAAACCACCTTCTGTTGAATTGTTGGTAAAATACTCAGTAGTTGAGCTTGAGTCTGAGTGGCTTCGGACACATCCTCCGATACAAAGTTTCGGAGATTGAGTCCCGAAAAGTGTCAAGTTCAGGGTAGCTTAGATTGTGGGTATGACTTGGTGGCCAAATTCAATGCCCAAGACCCTTTCTTTGGTGATTGATTATAAGTCTATTTTTGAATGTGAAGTAATAACCAAGTCGAGTGTGACCAAGTCTTGAGTCAAAGAAACGTGATCCTGGAGTCCACCAACACACGTCAAAGGACACAAAGATACCGAATCTTATTGTTCTGGAGTAGGACCAATCCACCAATATGAGATGAACTCTCCCCTTTCCCATTTCATGATGCTTATAAGAACAACAATAGGCGCTGTCATTGACACCTCAGAGATCTTCATCCTTCAATACACTCAACCAACTACAGAACCCAACATGTGCAAAAAATTCATTCGCTGGTTCTGTTGCCCCGTGCAATCTCAGATCTAAATGATATACCACCCATCCCACAAAGACCACGGTCTGCAAACCCTCTTCGAATATGGGTTAAGTGGAGGTCTAATGATCGTATACTGGATTCGCTGCGCCCGAACCAATATTACCGGCTGTGACAAGGCTCCTCTCAAGACTCGGATTGAGCTCTTCAGTATCCCTTGTCCTGACTGCACACAAGACCGCGCTTCTGCCATGTCTACCCGCCCCTTTCAAACATATCTTGAAGAACCAAACGTCAACCTACATGCTGATACCCTGAGAAATATCTACGCTGGCTATATGTAGTAGTTGTTGGCCCACATACGTGCTTTCTTCAGACATGAGCTTGACTTGGAACCACTCGGCGGACTGTCTGCCGTGACCTATATTCATGGTTTAAACTGCACTGAAAATCCATACCATATCAGACGGCAGCATCCAGACCGAAACAACTACCCCGAAGAATGTTTGACAGAGTGTGCGTGTACAGTTGACCCTGCGGCTCACAATCTTTCTCGTGCGGCCCGCAATCAGGAAGCCATGCGCGTAAGAGACAAGAGAGCCTATGGGTGGTTTGAAGCCATTCAACAAGACGTACGTCTGGAAACGTATCAAACCGAATACTTTGTCCAACTTCCCAATCAGTTGGCAATCAACTTGGACGAGGAATCGTCAGAAAAACATGACCGTATGGTAGAACGCGTTGGCCAGCAGGTGATGTCCCTCTGCCTCCTCAATCACAACCCAGACCTTCAGACCCAATGGACTGCTCGTTACGACGATTTAGATGAGTAACACAAGAGGGTAAGGCACCGTGAGGCTTTGTATCTCATCATAATCCGCTACGCTACCGCTGATCCTGGCATCTCACTCAGCTTCGCAGACGAGCTCATGACAGACATACTAACCATGCTCGCACCGGGTCTTAACGAGACGGACTCTAGTGTCCAGCACTTCTTCTGCAATATTGCCGCCTACAAAGACTTCACTGGAATGACCGCCATATGTGGCCAAATGACAACTGGAGACATTATTAGAAGGGGCAAGTGGAACTACAGGTAGGAGTGTATGGATCAACAAGATCATCTTCTCAACACGATGAGGCGCAACCGCAACATATCCTTTCGGAATATCGTCAACAAGCAAAGAGTCGCAGAAACAGTCGCCCAAAGGTACAGGATTGCTGGCTCTGCCATCCTTGACACCGACGAGATGCGAGACTGCGTCATCTGCAGCGACCCTTTCGACACATCAGGGGATGACTTTGTTCCTGAGCATTTTGCCGTCATTCAACTTCCTTGCTGTGCCAAGTTTATCCACACACAATGCTTCAAAGGAGTTACTACTGGAAAGAAGCAGGCTTGCTCGTTCTGCAACGCCGATCTCGAAACAATAGGTATGAACCTAGGTGACGGGACTGAGTTTTTGTCATTTTCATTACGTCCCGCGGAGCTCCCACCGGGATTACACCGTTTCTCAACCGACATAGAGAATGCCATTGCAAGATTCGTTGATCCAAGAGGCATCGCTCTGCTGAAGGAGTTGAACAAGGTTATCGAAGATGAGGAAGATATTCCCAGGGGTGCTCTTGGTGCGGTGTACAAGGACTGGCCTATGAACGCGAATTAATGAAGGGTTCAGGAGACTAAATTTGCTTGATGTTGAATACGAGATGCGGGCCATCTTCTGGTTATTGTGGAAAATGGAACTAATTAGGTCAAAGTGCCAAGTGGCATGAATACTCATGGGCGGACAAGTGTCCCTTGTGTCTTTCTTTATAGTAAAACATTTCTTTTGAATTTTGACGTTATGGAAAACTGGTAACAACCGGGATATAGTACCTTAAATCTTTGCTTTTTGCCCTTGTCCTACATGAAATCTCAAGTCATCCACATTAAGCAACGTCAATAAATGTCCGCTTCTTGGCACTCCTGGCGTCGTTCTCCCCCTCCCAGTTCTCATCCACATAGTCCTTGATGCTCTTGTCGCGAATCTGCATGCCAACAACCTTGAGAGCAGCAATGTTGACTCCCATCTCGTCCTTCTGGCGCTTGAGCGAAGCGCGGAGGTTGATGCGGATGCCGTCGAGCATGACCTTCATGCTACGGCTAGCAACAATTTGCTTGTGATGTGTCTTAAGCATGAAAAATAGAATGCGGCATGTTAGGGGCATATTCATGGATCGCATGGCAAATATGTTGAGGAAGGTGAAGAGGATGGGGACGGAAGCGAAGGGCAAGACCAGAAGGGCATCGTGCAGTGCAGAGGCCTTGATTTTCTGCAGGACAGAGAGGACGTAGGCTTCGGCGGTGATATTGCCGAGAGCGAGAAAGACCATGTTGCGCTGAGGGGGTTGAGCATGTGGGTTTGTAAGTTTGGCTTCCTCGTACTCCTTAAGAAGGTTCAAGTCAGCCATACCCATCTCGAGGGCTTCAGCTATTCGTTCACCAGCCATGAGGGTTTCTGAAGTCTGCTTGCTCGCCGCGCCGACCTCGTTGTTCTCATCCTGGGCATCCGCTTCACGTTCCAGAGATGTGGTAAGGGTGCTCTCGTATAACTCCTCCATCTCCTTCTCTCGCTCTTCCTCAAGGAAGATCTGTTCATCGGTCTCGTCCCAAACCCGAATACTCTTGTCGTGGCCGGCACTGACCAAAAGGTTGCCGCTATGGGAAACAGCAATTGCCCACACTTCTCCGTGATGTCCATCCATCCTCTGGATCTGCTCAAACTTATCGCCGTCCCAGTATCGAATCGTACGATCCTTACTGCTACTGAAGAAGTGGTGGCCGTTGCCATCGTTGTTGTGTGGCACGAAGGCGACCTGCAGAATGCTGTCCTTGTGGCCATACAGGGCTTTATGGCAGTCACCGAAATCAAGACCCCATATTCTGATGTTCTTGTCGGCCGAACTTGTGACAATCATCTTGCTGTCATATGATATGTCCATACTCAGGACAGGTAACTTATGACCGTATAGGTTGAGGTAGAGATTAAGGGAGTCAACAAAGAAGACCTTGACTGTGCTATCAAATAGGGCAACAGCCAGAAGTCTTGCATCTGGTGAGAACTTGAGGCTGAGAATATCGTGGGAAACCTTCAACGTCCTCGATTGCACCAACTTGAGCTTTGGCGTTGTTCTCCTTGTACCCAGAACCTCCTCCTGTACGATCTTGAAGTCCCAAAACTTGGCTGTCTGGTCGGCACTGCCCGAAACCACAGACTGACCGTCAGGGTGGACGCTCAGTGACCAGATTGCTTTCTCGTGGGCATCGACGCTGTCAAGGAGGGCCGCTGAAGCGACGTCAAAGAGCTGCAACTCGCCGCTCTTGGTGCCAACAACCACAACCTTGTCTCCGGGAAGGAAAGCACAGCACAGCGCATAACCACACTCGAATGTTCGAATGCAGGACTGTGTCTTTACATTCCAAATCTTCAAGTTGCCATTGGAGGCAGACGCCAGCATCTTGTCATCCGAGCTTAGCGAAAGGGCCCGAATATCCGTTCGGTGACCGGGCAGCTCGACGGACAGAGTTCTTGTGTATTCAGGAGCGTCTTCCTTTTTTGACTTATCGCTCTTGTCCTTGCGTGAGACGCTGTAGTACTCGAGCAAATTGTTTGTGGTTCCTACTAGCAATTGAAGATCTTTCTGCCCGCTGGGTACAGCCCAGTCAACAGAGCGAACCCTTCCTCCTGTTCGCACAATGACGTGCTGAACAAACACATCACTGATGTCGGCCTTTGAGACGTCCTCAGGATCTTCAACGTTGGCTTCCTCCTCGGCGGTCTTGCCGTCCTTGGCCTTCTCGCGACGTCTTCTTCGCTTACGTGCCAGGGCCTTTTTTATCTCGGCCTCGGATCGTAGTCGCCACACGTCGACCGCCTTTTCTGAACCGTGAACCGCAAAGTAATCCTTCTTGGGGTGAAACACGACTTCAGTTGCCCTATCCTTGCTTTGTCTGTGCAGCGTTCCTCTATCCTGGAGATATTGGGCTGCAGCGGGTGTGTCCACTTGGTGGGCGCTGAGCGCAAGACCATCGGCATCCAATGACCAAACCTTAATTTCACCATCGTTTCCAGCTGTGACACATCCGCTGTAGTCTGGAGAAAGGCCAAGAGCCCAACATTCGCCGTTGGTTTGCGAAATGTGAGTCTCTATACAGTGTCTTGACGAGAGATCCCAGAGTTTGATGAGCGAGTCTTTGCCAGTCGTCAAGAGGAAGCCTTCGTGTGTTCCTTCGCCATCGATAACCATGGCACGCGAGCCATCCTCGTCCTGGACTTGCGCCTCTGGCTCAACAAAATGCAGACCGGTGATTTGGTCCTTGTGTCCTCGCAGTTTGAATTGACCAACTTCTGCAACAAGGTCCCACATGATAATGTCCGTATCCCGAGATCCACTGGCAAGTCTGACGCCGGACTTGTCGAATACGAGTTTTGTGATTGCTGACTTGTGTCCGTTAAAGTTGAGTATGACAGAGGAAATCTTGCTGTCCCAAAGTCGAATGCTGCCGTCTTCGTATCCGACAGCAAAGACGTCCTTGTCGGCTTTGCTTTGCGCGATCGCAGTTACAGGTACTGTACATCGTTCATCTCTCCAGCGGCCGATAAGTTCACCCTTCTTGATGTCCCAGCAAAGAACCTCCTCGTTCGCGGCGACGATCGCCTGTCCTGCGCCTGTTCCTGTTCGGTCTTTGGACGACCATACCAGGTTCGATGTCGACGAGGCGACGACGCCAAAGGACTTGCCGTGCTCGTATTTTCTGTTTGATAATAAATTAGATTCAGTCGCTTAATAGTATTAGTCAACTTACAAGTATGACTTAACCATTTTTGCACGGTTGCGACCAGAATTGGCCTTTCTTCAAATTTGTCTCTAACAAAAAGATCCCAGAATCTTTCTTTCTATGCAACGCGGAAAGGTACTAGGTGGGAAATTTTCTTATCGATAAGACTGCACCCACCTGCTCCACTGCGAAGCTCATCGTCACGTGTGAAGGCTGGGAGCTCGAGACTCACACGTAAGCCCCACTACCAGGCGTCACCTACCTAAGCTCCAGTAACGTCAAGAGTAAAGGGGAGCGCATACAACTCAATCAACAAGATGCTTCTGCTAGATTACCAAAACGTACTGATTCAGTCAGTCCTGACTGAGAGGTTCTCTGGGTAAGATTGCGCATATTCAAATGTTTCGAAACGAGAGCTAACAGATCGTACGTCAGAGCCCCTCCCGCTTCCATTGACCAGACGGTCAGCGACTTCGACGGCGTCACTTTCCATATCTCGACACCCGAGACCAAGACCCAGGTCCTCCTCTCTATCCAAATACGATGCTTCCCCGATCTCGTCAAGTACGGAGCCGAAGAGATTCTCCAGCGGGAGTACGGCGACTATGTGACAGCTGTCGAGCCTGGCTACGACTTCTCTGTTCTGGTGGACCTGGAGAACCTCCCAGATTCAAAAGGTATAGCTCCCTGTGGTCTTCCTGATTATGCAAAGTCCATTGCTGAACGTTGATTAGAGGAACGTAACGAGCTGGCTCTCAAGTTCGCTCTCCTGAAACGCAATGCCATGGCCGCCCCATTCGAGCAAGCCTACAAGGAGCACTATGCACTGAAGGAGGAAGCTTCCAAGTTCACTTCCGAAGACGCTCCCCAAGGAATTCAAGAAGGAGGTGAAGTTAAGGCGATCCACTACCGAGAAGAGGAAGCCATCTACGTAAAAGCCAGCCACGACCGAGTTACCGTCATCTTCAGCACTGTCTTCCGTGAAGAAACCGACCGTGTATTTGGAAAGGTGTTTATCCAGGAGTTTGTCGATGCTCGAAGGAGAGCCATCCAGAACGCTCCCCAGGTGCTGTTTAGGAACGATGCTCCCCTTGAACTGCAGGGTGTCCCAGGAATTCAGAACACTGGGTCCGGAGATATTGGCTACGTGACTTTCGGTAAGCGCAAGAAGCCGCTAATATCAAGAGCATCAACTAACTGGACTATAGTCCTCTTCCCCCGCCACCTTACTCCTCAGCGCATGACCGATGTTATTTCTCATATTCAGACTTTCCGTGATTACTTCCATTACCATATCAAGGCCTCAAAAGCTTATATCCACTCTCGTATGCGAAAGCGAACTGCCGACTTCCTCCAAGGTAAATCTCATGTATTGAATCAGTACAATTGCAGATCTAACATTGCCCAGTGCTGCGCCGTGCCAGACCCGAGAACGAGGAGAAGGAGAGAAAGACTGCCAGCGGTAGAACCTTCAAGGTGCAAGGAAACTAAATTTTGGTATAACAGGACAATTCCTGTGTACACAACTTTATACAATGACCGATTTGGTTCAACATTGTTGGGCCGTCAGATAGGGCGGTTAGTCGCGGGCAGATGATAGTTGAGCGAATGATACTATAAAACTATATTTGATAACCCGAGTTGAACAAATGAGACCAATAACCAAATACTTAGTAAATAGGAACAATTATGAGCTAAATCCATCAGGGGATCGACCATCATGGCACGTGGTGGATCTCAACTAAACGTTACAAGTCGCACAGCAGCTCACACTAGACTTCTTACCTACCTAAGTAAACATTTCACCTTGACGAGACAGCAAAGCTCAAGCCTCAAGGTTAAAACTTGAGATTCTCCCAGCTAACGACTTGAGCCGACTTTAAAGCAACTCTACGAATCCGTTACTAATATAATCCGGTTGTTGAGGTGTAGGTACCTAACTATACTCACCTTAGGCGCTACCCAATTAGCGGTGGGCGGTTCGAACTTCAAGGGTCTTTTCTTGGTTGAAATATCGTGCCAACACATACGTGCCACTTTTCTTTGTTGCAACAACAGTAATAACGACCTTTGGTCGTAGAAAGAAAAATGATATGGCCGTTCACATCGAATGACTCCAAGAAGGAAAATGAGAGGAAACTCGAAGAAGAGGCGAAGCGGCGGTCCGTCTCATGGACAGATACAATAGCCCGCCTCAGATCAGATCCTTTCGATGCAGCACAGGCCTGGGCGCCCGTGGTTCTATTTCCACTGGCAGGCATGGCAGCTCTTCAGCTGTACGCAAACTACCTTCGTCGCATACCTGGGTCAGCGTATATGCGTCCCAACTTCTTCCGAAACAGAAGTATCTATGGTCGGGTTACCAGCGTTGGTGATGGGGACAACTTCCATCTCTTCCATACTCCAGGTGGTCGTTCTTTGGGATGGGGCTGGCTAAGGAGAATTCCCGAAGTCCGCAAGGACCTAAAAGACCGGACGGTATGTGAACTGTCGCAGATTGCCCATGCCCCCATACTAACAAGGCTGAATCAAAGATCCCGATCCGCATTGCTGGCGTCGACGCTCCGGAATGCGCCCACTTCGGGAAGCCAGCACAACCTTATTCAGCTGAGGCACTGGCATGGCTAAGAAACTATCTCCTCAAACGCAACGTTAGAGCATACGTCTGGAGAAAGGACCAGTACGACCGAATTGTTGCGACAGTGTATACGCGACGGTGGCTGTTTCGAAGGGACGTAGGCCTGGAGATGATAAAGGCTGGTATGGCGACGACGTACGAAGCCAAGCAGGGGGCGGAGTTTGGGGGAAGACAGGAAATCTACGAAAAGGCTGAAGCTAAAGCCAAGCACAAACGAAAGGGGATGTGGTCTGGCAAGGCCAAAGATTTCGAAAGCCCAAGAGCTTACAAGACAAAGTGGGCCGGAACTGACAAAACCGGCACTTGAAGATACCGAATATAATTGATGACATGGTAAAACAACGGATGGATCAAGTTGCATTAGAGAGATATCCCAGCATAAATCGACAACGGATCGAGAATTCCAACGACCAAGGCTGCTACTGTACTGATAGGAAGGTGTACATATGCATCGTGAGCCTATTATATGGCATTCCGCTTTGTGATCTATTTTAGGCGCAAGTTTGTTAATGGGGACTGAGAATGAGGCTTAGTTTGAGTTCTATCAATAATACATATACAGACTGCTCAATAAGCCTCGGTCGTCTGAGAGCTGGAGCTTTTAGCTTAGCTGCCCTTGCATCAACAGTAAGACTGGCCTGACATCGACCATGAATGCATCAATTATGACGGGATTGATCTGAGTCAATGTCTGACACGTTGGCGAGCATGGACATGGGTATGTCGGTGCCAGAGGTGGTTACGACGCGAAATGCTAACAGGGTCTCACGCAAGGGACTTACTAACACGATCCATAGTGGTTTCAGAAGACCTTGGGTTTTGTGTTGGTGATGTAAAACGTGAGCCAAGACGGCTACAGAAAGGTAGATGAGAGAATGGTTGTATTGTGAGAAATGTTCTCGAAGCCGTTATAGATCGAACCAGCTGGATCTACATTCGTTGCTACAGTGAGTTATGTCTCGTATCATAGTGCCGTATCGTATACAAGCATTTCCCATGCCTCTTTGGCCCCTGCGTAATCATGCAAGGTCTACAAAACAATCAAATTTTCATTTATCGACGTACAAACTCTGTAAGCGCCAGAAATAAACATTCCATGATTCCAGCTGAACCTGGCTGCCATTCGGTTGCTAATGCAAAATACAAACTACCTTACCCTATTATTCAGAGACAAAGAAGAGTAACGCACAACAGGTTGTGATGCCACAATCAAAAGCCCCCTGCTTTATCCCCCAACCTCCTGAGTTTTTAGCGCGGTACAGTCTTCAAAATTATCAGGCAAGTGGGAGCACTGAACATGAGCTTACACAACCGAGTTTTATTGTCCGGGCGGGTCGCCTAAACCTTAGCCATAATGGCTTCCAAGCCACGCACGACTTGGACATGGGTATGAAGGAGATCAACGGCCAGAGAGGTAACTAAGGGAACAGCAAACATTCATAGCAATAACAGACATTATACGGAATATCTAATTTGGAAGCTCTTACGAATTAGAGATACTAGAATTGTAAGCGTAATAAAGTGTATTTATTAGTCGTATGGTTTTGTGAATTTTATGCAGGTCCATGAGTTGGTAATTGCTTCTGTAGCAAGCTTACAGTGAACAGTAGAAGGAAGCTCCACTTGCCCCCTGGAGCCCCCAGTCAAGCCAAAGTATCGGCAGGAAACAACTCTTCCCTCCCGGTCTCTCCTAATTCTCACCTCATCCTCCACGATAATTCTTAGAGCCGTGAGAGAGGAGGATCCCAACCTTTGCATTGTCTTGCAAACTGTCACTCGTTATACTCGTCTCGTCTCATCTCGTCTCTTCTCTTCTTTTCTCTATTGTTTGTTTCCCGTCAGCACGACTACCTGTGTGCTGTACATAATTTATACCGCCCACGTCAACTCGACAGCACTTGAATACCAATTTCCACTCAGCCTCAACTGGTTGATACTCGGTATTCGCACTCATTAATACCGCGTTCTTTTCTCATCTCGATTTTTTTAACAGCCCTTTCGTCATCTGCAGCAACCCGGACCTCCCAGCCATCCTATACAGCCTGACTGCATTCCAACGGTTGTCGACCTGGAGACACAATATCTGTCCCTCAATCTTTAATCGAATATCTCAGACGCGTGCCTTAGAGACAATCAACCACGGAAGCGTCTCGTCACCCCGCACTTAGGACGCGGCAGAACACGAAAGAAAAAGCATCACCTAGCAAATAATCGCATGTTGATCTATTAGAAAGACCGTTGCCGCCAACGAGATTGCTTGATACGAGGACGAAGCTCGCCGATAATCAAACTCTGGGTTACAACTCTCAAGCTCATTGGGTGTTGGATTGATTAAGGTGGCGCCGTTACACGACTTCCGTTACTGCACTACGTCCCTCAGTCGCACACCTTGAAACCACGGTACGTTTCTTTTCTCCTTATTTCTTGATGGCGATAGAGGAATCTTGATTATCGCATTTGTACAATTGAAATTCATCAATGCACTTTGTTTGTTTGCTTGTTTGTTCCTTCCATCTTTCTCGTTGCGACGCTGTTATTTCGGTTGCTGCTTAATTGCCTACCTATTCGTCGCCATCCCACATCCATGCTCAGGTACCGCATTGCAGTAAGAAGGGGTCTAACCAAGTCGGGCTAGTGGCCAGACACTGGAAAATCCAATGCACGCCTAGAGAACGGACATCGCCATCGCTAGCAATTTCCCACATACGTGCTACAGCAGCACCACTTGCCGCTCAACTTGCATCTTACAAACCACGATTCCCAATTTCGATTGCGCACATTCGACGATTTTTTAACAAGCGGTTTTCATAGCGACAAATCTCACGAATCATTCGAATCCAACTCCACGATCTTTTCCCGCTTTTATATCCAGCCGGTTTTCCCTAATACGCCGCAATCCACTTCGCTCCCGCCTCGACCGTTAGGAAACGCGATTATTCGCCCTTGACATGTCACATAGTCGATCTTGAGATGCAAGCGCGACCTGAATCATTTTCGACGACACTCATCAGATCTGGCTTTCCTGCGCGCCGACCGATTACATCGACAGCAAGCAAAAACTCACAGTTATGCGATTATCTTTTCAACGGCGTTGCCCATCGGCGCGCCAACGCCATGGCCTAGGTCCCGTTCTAGGTTCCAGCCTTGTGGCTTTAACAGCTATGGCGCCTTTTACACAAGCCATTACCTTCAACTCAGTACCATCATCAAATTTGGACTTCTCAAATTTAGGCAGGATCGGCATAGTCGGAGATTTTGATGGAATTTCACTTTACGAATATGAGGGGCAGAATGAGAGCCCTCGCAACTCTAATGGCAGCGAGTCACTTCTGGCTCAATTGCCCAACGGCGCCTTCACCTCAATATTATCTAGCGATGCCTCGATACGAGCCATGTGCTCATTCCAACTCAGTAACGGAGAAATGCAGGGTGTGGTAATAGGCGGTAATTTCACGAGTTTGGACGGCACACAGTCAAAGGCAGTCGCATTATTCAACCCCAACACGACTGAAATCACACCTCTAGACGGAATCGAAGGCGAGGTCAACGCCGTGTATTGCGACCAGGAACGAGACACGGTCTATGTGGGTGGTAATTTTAAGGGCGCCAACTCCACGAACGCGATCGCATGGGTCGGTACAGATGGATGGACAAACTTGCCATTTGCTGGTTTCAACGGTCCCGTGAAGGCTATCACGAAAGCCTCTAACGGACACATCATCTTTGGTGGAACTTTTACAGGTCTAGGAAACTCGAGCGCCCCAAACGAATCCATCAGTCAGGTTATCAATCTCTCGACAGCAAACATCACCGATGATAATGGTTCTTCAGGAACTGACCCCCAAGACATTGTCTGTCCCGGATCTTCATCAAGCCCTTGGTTGTTGCAAGACAATACGCCTGGGTATTGGGAAGCCGCTTTCTCCTTCGGCTTCGAGCCCTCCAAACTCAGGCTTAAAAATACCCGCCAGGATGGCCGTGGCACCAAGACCTTCCGCTTCGTCGCTTACCCTATCGACGGAATTATGAACCTAACGTATGTCGACCCAGAGAGCGGTAATAACGTTACCTGCACTAGCGAGTGCCCTCTTCTTGATAACAATGATTACCAAGAGTTCACGTTTGTGAATCGTGTTGGCATGAATAGGTTCCGCCTTGCTGTTTCTGATTGGTACGGCAACGGTGGTGGGTTGGAGGCTATCGAGTTATATCAGAGCGACATCTATGCTTATGCTATCTCTGACTTTAACGAACCGAAATGCGGCGGAGTCAAGAACCCTTCTTCAGCTACTCACACTGGACCTTGGAAGGTTTCCCCATCTTTGGAGAGCAGTTCTGAGTACCTGGTTGCTGAGCTTGATGGTGATTATGATCCCGAATCGGTCTCCGTCACATTCTACCCCAACATCATGGAATCTGGCAATTATTCCGTGAATATTTACACACCAGGTTGTCGAGCCGATGATACCTGCGATTCGAGAGGTCGTGTTAATGTCACAGGCATCATGTCAGGTGATGATGGCAAGGATACCAACTTTACTTCACAATTATTCCAAACGAATTACTTCGACAAATACGACCAGATCTACTTCGGATATATTGAGAAGAGTTCGGGATCTTTCAAGCCTTCGGTAACCATCCGCCCGGTTGCTGGTCAGGAAGTTGACCCATTGACCGTTGTTGCCCAGAGGGTCGAATTCACTCTTACCAATTCTACTGGTGGCCTCAATGGTCTTTTCGACTTCGACCCTGAACAAGCCGTCGTCAACACGTCAAGCCTTACAAGCTCACCAATCAACAAGCTCGGTGCCAGCTTCGATAGAAGCTCTGGTGTGTCTGTTCTTGTTACTGATAGCAACACCACCTATGTTGGCGGTAACTTCACCTCAAAGGATCACGACAACATCCTCGCTATTATTGAAAATGACGATGTCAAGGAACCCGGTGGTGGCCTCAATGGTGAAGTTTTCGCCATGTATCTCAACGACACGCAGCTTTATGTTGGTGGAGACTTTTCCAACACTGACAATGGCCCCGTCACAGGCCTAGACAACGTTGCCGTCTACGATACCGAAGAGGACAAATGGAGCCCCCTGGGTGCCGGCGTAGACGGTCCCGTGAAGTACGCTGTGCCATTGATGGTCAACATCACCGCAGATACGCCTGAACTGGTGGTTGCTTTCACTGGCAGCTTTTCTTCGTGCAACGCTTTCGATGGTTACGATGCCATTTCAGTGGACGGCTTCGCCATCTGGGTGGCCTCCAAGAGCAACTGGTTACAGAATCTTGACGGCAATTACCCTGCATTTGGTGGCTCACTCACGGCCGCTGTTCTTGACATTCCTATGGACGGGGGATCTCTTTACGCCGGTGCTCTTTCATCCGCACAGCTCGGGGCAGGTGGCGCTGCCACGCTCTCAGATGAGGGTCTCGGCCAATTTCCTCTCACGATTCGCACCTCCACATCTGAATCTGAGTCTTCTTCGTTGAGTCGTCGGGATGTAACATCATTCGACAAGAACACCACTGGCGTGGTAACAGGTATTTTCTACAACGATAACGACTACAACATCACTGTCCTCGCAGGTCATTTCACTACTGAGTCGACAAAGGGCGAACAGATCCAGAATATCGCCCTTCTTGAGGACGATACCGTGACTGGACTCGGATCCGATATTTCCAATAGTTCCAGTTTCGTCGCTCTTGCTGTTCGTGACGGAATCTTGTTTGCTGGCGGCGATATCAGTGGCACCATTGATGGGACTGATATTCGTGGCCTTGTCTCCTACGATCTTGAATCAAAATCGTTCAACTCGCAGCCCGCTTCTGTTTCGGGCGCCAATGGTACCGTCGCAGCTATTGCCGTTCGTCCCGGTGATTCTGGTGACATCTATGTTGGCGGCTCATTCGATACTGCTGGTGCTTTGGACTGCCCTGGTCTTTGCACCTACAACGTGAACTCTGGTCAGTGGAACCGCCCAGGCAGTCAACTCGAGGGTACTGTCTTCAGCTTGTTGTGGATGAGCAAGAACCAACTTGTTGTCGGTGGTGATCTCCGTGGTAATGGGTCGAGCCAGCGTTACCTCTCAAGCTGGGACGCAAATGCGGAGTCTTGGTCCAACTTTCCTGGTTCTGAAGACGTTCCCGGCCCTATCTCAGTCATCTCTCCTGGATCCAGCGATTATGAACAGCTCTGGGTGGCTGGTACTTCTAGTGGGGATGACTCTGTCTTTGTCATGAAGTATGATGGCGAGAAGTGGCATACCGTTCAGCCCTCCTTGTCATCGGACACCATCATTCGTGGTCTGCAGGTGTTTTCCGTCACTCAGGATCATGGAGACGCTGACCTGCTGGACAAGAACCAGGTCTTGATGCTAACAGGCTCTATCGACATCCCTGACTTCGGAGTCGCATCGGCAGCT